GGGGGGGTCTGAACAGAGGAACGGCAGGGGTGTAGGGTGTCTCGAGCCCAGTGCGAACAGCTGAGAGGTGTGATTTCACAGGCTGGCTCCCCCCTGTCAGGGCCCTGATTGGGCCGGACAGGAGGCGCAGGAGAGGCCCGGGCTTCTAAAGGACACCAACAGGTGGGAGGCCGCTTTGGAGGGGGGCGCTCCTGGCGGGATAGAAAAGGCCGATCTGCAAGGCCTGTTGTGGACACAATCCACCGGGCCAGATATGGAGGAGGATGGTTGATCGCAGGATAGCTGAGGTGAAGAGAGCAGAAGGGCAGGAGGAAGTGGGGGGAATGGTTCTCAGGGAGCAGAGGGATAGTCTGAGATGAGCTTTGAAGGGTGTAAAGGGCAGCAGTATAAGGTTGGTCTGAGAGGTTGGTCTTTTCTGTGTGTTTTTGGTCACAAACGTTTTGTAGGTACCTTTTGTTCTGTATTAGCGAGTGTAAAAGGTTAATATTTGACATCAACAAATGGGCAATACAGTGACATGTTTTTTTGTTGACTCATAACTCATTTGCAGCACCATGTGAGTAAAATCAGGCGTCAAACCAGTTGTCAGATGTTTTCTGTAAGTTTTACGACAGATGCAACACAGAGCCTGACACCGTTGTCAGGTGAGGGGAAGCTGAGGTGTAATACAGGAAATTCTCATCACAGTCTAATCAAAGAAAAAGGGCAAGTCGCTCCTATGGCCATTTAGTTTGGAGCTGGTTGACATAGCAGTGGTTAGTTTATCAAGGACGTCACCACAAGACAGCGTAGGAGAAGCTTATTGAACCCAATGTGGCCTCAAGCCGCTCAGCACGGAAAACCACGAGAGGAGACGCAACAGAACTCAGTTAAGGTGAGTAAAAAATATTTTCAATTCGTTTCAAATATGATTCCTTTTAACATTGATTTCTTATTGTTTTCTGCTCTTTAAAAAGGACATGATCGCACAGTTGTTGGGATCAACACGACTTGGCATGGCACAATGTTTAGGAAATAGTACAGATTGTGACCTTTGTGTGGTGGAAGTCAGAATTTGCCTCGCCCTCCAGAGTTATTTATCACAAGGGCTTTAAGCATCATTACATTTGCATTACCCATCAAAGAGCTGCACGGGCTGGTATTTAGCAGTATTAATACTTACTGTCAGGGACAAACAATGTAGTTCATCTTTTTTTCTTTTAGTGTCAGAGGGCCCTACTTTTTGCTTGTATTAGACTACAACAGTAGGACAATGAATCTCAAATAAGCCACACTTTCAATAGCTATTAAACTTGAAATTTCCCCTTCTGTCAAACTGAACTTTGGATTTTTGTGGCGCAGATGCTCGTGTCTCTTGAGCCCCGTCCTCCCTGCGCGCTCTGTCACAGTTAACCATTCTTAAGCCGGTTGTTCCTGCTACTCTGCAACTGTGACTATGAAAGGGTGCTTTGTGTCCGAGGAGCGGTGAATCCAGTTGTTGCCCCTTGCGAGGACATGCTTCCTTATATCGCCATATTAATACACCACTTATGGAATGTAAGGAAGTGTGTGGTTTCAAGGGGTTTTGAGCACCAGCCACACTGGGAAGAAGAGACACACTGGTCCTATTTTTTACTTAATGTCTATTTTTTTAATTGAATGTTATAAAAGATGTAGCTTCGTTCAGCATGATTCATGATTGCCTGAGTGCTCCTTTGTCTGTTTTATGAGATGGGAGGGGGATTTTAGGGTTCATGAGCATGTGTGGCAGGACACAACAAGTGAAAGGTCTGTTCCCTCTCCTTCAGCTCAGGCACAGTTAGTATTACCCTCAGCGCCGATGATCAGGTCTCAGGGACTTCTTGAAAAAATTCCTGCCCTTCCCCAACAGCTGACAGTCATGGAGGATTGACAGACCACAGCTGTCACCCATTATAGCAACCGCAGGACTCTCAAAAAAGGAAGAGGGGGAGGGAGGGCAGAGATGTGGAGCTGTCACTGAGGGTGAAGGTTTGCTCCTGCAGGCTGGATTTGGAAGGAAATAGAGCGATGTCACCGGCTGTCAGGGTTCCCAAACCTCTAAATAGGAACTATCTGCTTGATCCCATGACACTTGTTTCTGTGTTGTAACTATGCAGGATGTGTCAATAAAGACTCGGTGATGATGTTGTTTTTCTCTCTCTGTGTTTCATCAGGTAAGGCTGAAGAGGACATGACCGCCTGATCGCTCGCAGATGACGTCCACCCTTTATTTTCACACTTTCTCCTCCCTCATTTCCTTCTTTTTCTATGTCCTCTACCCTCTACCCTCTCCCCCCTCCTCACTGCATGCCCCGTCCTGCTCTCACTCGCTCTGCCTCTTGCAGCTGAAGCAACACACCTTGCTGTGGCTGGTCAAACGGAACCAAGTCAGGTGTTTCTGTGAGGTTTGGTCCCCTTCAACCAGCTACTGCGTCGTGAATTCAGTCAGCGTGGAATCAAAGACACAGTGGCGTTGTGGTGTGTGCTGCATACTTTAGAGGTGGTAGTCTACTGACATTGATAGATTATTTTCTTCAGTAATTTGGTGTTGATTGTTTTTCCTGTATGGCAATTGATGTTTGAAAAAAGCAAATAAAAGATTGATGACAACATATACAGTGGTGAATTAAAATTCTTCTCAATGTCTAAAGTCTCAAAAACATTTAATGAATGTAAAATACGGATTCATAGAGTCAGTTTTCTTTATACCATTTTAAATTGTATGTGTTTATGTGTTTTTTTTGTTTTTGAGAGTGGTATAAAAAGTGTGAATTCCCTCCAAATATGTAGAATTAAAGTCTGATGAAAACATCTTTTATTGCACTACCAAAAACTCAATTAATAGGTGAATTATACAGAATGCGCAATACATTATTCAGCAAAAAATACCTCCACCAAAAGTCTAACTTGACCTGTTTAAAAGGAAACGAGACTCAGTGAGACTCAGTGAGACTTGGTGATTGTAATAATGATAATAGTAATAATGTTATGATGCTTTTGTCCACCCTCTTTTTCATTCTTTCATAATTCCAGGATTTGATTTTCCTTCAGTATATTCAAAAAGAGCAGCAGAAAACAATTGATTTGAGAGTGCTGTAAATGAAATTGCTCAATTTGGAACAAGTAAACAAACAAACAAAAATAAAAATACTGGCTTTTCTGATAAATGCCGTGCTATCGCAGTACATGAAGCTTTTTAGATACTCTCCTCATGGCATATGTGATATAGGGATTTAGACAACAAACGCACACACTACAAACATGTCATTATCTGTCTTGAATCTCCTATAACAAATGTTTCATCCTCTTTTATTTATTTGTGTGATTCTTTTTAAAAATGTATTTAAATCTCTTAAGTCCAACTACATATCAGTTCAGAGTCTGACGATACACACTGAGTTTATACCAGATGATTCAGAACCACGGACTGCCTCCATGATTCCCACAATGATAAGAATCATTTTGTGTATTTGCTGATATTACTGCAGGAATTGTGGAAGGCCAATAAAAGAGTAGGTACAGTATCTGTTTAAAGGTGCAACATCTACCATCTGAATTAAAAATGCAACACAACTTTCATGTTTTTAGGTATTAAATCATGGCTTATACCCCTGTAGACATGCCTGTATTTTGTCAATCAATCAATAATCAGAATCACGGGGATTTAGGGGAAATAAAAAATCATAATAATTCATAGGCTACTGTAGTTGAATTTATAAAAGAAACGCCATGTAATGCAGTGAGATTTACTGATGAATGAATACAGATTATGAGTTGTATAGAAAGTTGCAAACAACTATATATATGATGAATAAAATGAGGATAAATCATAACAATATATTAAAAATAAATATAAGTAATTGTAACAAGGCGGTCTGTTCATTGTGAGCAGAAAGTTAGTACAAAAGTGTGTAACATACAACTAAAGACATGTCATTTTACAGGAAACCGCCTCTAAGAATTAAAGTGATTGTGGCCACAAGGGGGCGATATACGTTTTCTGGGGCGGTAGTTTCTGCCGCAGCAGAGGAAGTTGAGCAGCATCGTAAACATGGCTGACAGTGGAGTGACAGGTGAGTTTGGGAGTGTGTAACAGCTGGACTTTATAACGGTTTACAGGTATTTTGATACCTTAACGGTGTGCGCAGCGACGAAATGTCTCGCGCTTGTAGGCGCGTGTTTTGCGGTCTTTGGGTTTGTCTTGTAGCAAAGTTAATTTCCCCTTATGCTAGTGCTGCTAACGTTAGCATTGCAAGCGGTACCATTGCGCGAGACAGGAGGCAGTCGTGTTATTGCATCATTTTTTCGATTGTTTATTTTAAACGAACAGAATAACTAAACCTGTCTGTTTTAAATTGTCCCTGTTATGTGCAGATAATAGTTGCTGACCAGTCATGTGACTGTTTTCGTTAGCATGCTGCAAACCTAGCAAGTTAAATGACTGTATAGCCAGCTAACAGCATCAGAACTGCAGGACTGGAAGCTAAATGAAAGCTGCTCCTGTCATTACAGCCCAATGCATTAATTGAACCATCCATTGATTGTTTTTACAGATGGAATTTGCAATACAGATGACATTGCACAAGCAAAGGTTGGTATGCTCCTGAATTTTGCAACACTCGTGTAAGGCTGCCTATTTGGCACGATTGTAACGTCTTCGTTGAACCCACTCTATGACATGTGTGTCGAACAGACTGAAGGCAAAGAGCTGACCAAAGAGGAGAAGCAGCGGCTGAGGAAAGAGAAGAAACAGCAGAGGAAAAGCAAAGAGAAAAAAGATGACAAGGCTTCACATGAAGGGGAAAAGAAGAAGAAGAAGAAAGAAGAGAAGCCCGTCAGTTCAGCTCCCCAGCCTCCAACACAGTCCTCACAGAAAGGTGCATATCATTCAGACAGCACCAATGATTGCATCTGTGATATTTGCAAAGGAAATGTTCTTTCTAACTGATCCATCCCGCTGTGACCCTCCCTCTGTAGTGCCTGCTTCTGCACCGGTTCCCGTGCCTGCCTCAGAAACTGCTGCCCCGGCAGACAAGCCATTGAAGAGTAAAGCAGACATGAAAGCGGAGAGGAGAGCACGGCAAGATGCCGAGAGGGCCTCAAAACAGGGCAAGAAGGGAGACGTGGGGCAGCCGGCTAGGCAGCCGCCTAGTGAGCTGCAGCCAGGTACTGTAGTGGCCAGCAGGCCAGCATAAGAAGTGATTTATACATGATATAGTGGGGAGAAAGTCACACTTTTTTTATGTGTTTCTAGTGGTGAAGAGGCTCCCAGAACATGTCCAAATGGACAACCCGGACGTTTTAAAGAAACTGGCAAAGAAATTGGAAAGACAACAGGTTAGCGACTTCATGCGTCATCTCTTAAAAAAAAAAAAAAAAAAAACTTGAATCTTGAAAAAGCATGCTTTGTCTGATTGTGCTCAGTTTACCTTGATGTCATACACTGCCAGTCACTAAAAATTAGGAGAGCTAGCTTTGTGTTAGCATGTTTGGTTAAATCCTGGGCACTAAACTTCCTTTATGAATTCATCGTAAATATCTTGAAAAGAGAAAACAAGGAGGAAGAGGCTAAATGAGTTGGGGCGTGTTGGTGACTCTTACCGATCTCATTGAAAAGGACTTGAATACACTTTATGTTGGTTGTTTTAATCAAACACCTGTTGGAAATAACATGTTATATCATGTGTTTTGTTTACTATATAATTTGTGGGAGCCGCATATTTCTCTGACACTTACAAGCATAACCGTAAGTTTATACTACTAACTAACGTCTGAATCCTGCTCATTCTGGATTTCCTGTTTTCGTTACTGATTCTCTAATTTGAGGGTATTTACAACAAGGACAGTTCACGAAACGTCACCAACAATCCTAAAATGTGTTGAATGTCCCTCGCTGCAGCCTCAGATAACGAGTTCTAACTGCATGTGATCATACCTAACATTTCTTTCAGACACCAGGGTGCAATGCTGCTACAAATGTCAAGGTCTGACCTTCCTGAATCTAAATGTGTGCCATTGACATTCGTCTAGTTTTGTTTGCTAACCTGTAATTGTTGTCGTACTCCAGCGCTGCTCAGTAAATTGGAGAAGTTGAGGATGTTGTTTGGTCCATTGAGACAGAGGCGGTGTGTCGGTGGTTTGTGTTCGTTTGAGGAGCTGACAACGTGTTAAATGTATCGTTTTGTTGTTTGTTGTGCAGGTCTGTGTTTGCACTCCATGCTGCTCTGTTTGTACTTGGAGAGTATTTACAACAAAATCAGACATTATAAACAGGTTTCCTGAGTCGCCAAAGTTAAACATGAATAAGTCTCACAACATTTGTCTTTTTTTGGCTCTAATCTGCTTTATTTCAGATCCCACTCCGGTTGGACTACGGCTACAAAGTCAGCTTGTTTTCTCATCTCCACCAGTACAGTCGCAAAGCCCCTCTAACACAGCAACTCGGGTAAACTGACCGTATAGTACAGTAGGATGTTTGGCCAATAAGATTATCTTAAATCTCCCTTCTTGCTATTGACTGTTTTTGTCTGCTGCAGCATTCCCTCCACAGTGATTCATCCTGCTATAGTTCGCCTGGGTCTCCAGTATTCACAGGGCATCGTGGCAGGATCTAACGCTCGCTCTGTGGCGCTGCTGCACGCCTTCAAACAGGTACGAAGCACTATTTGGTCTGACTGCATTACCATCCCATTGTGCTTTTTAGACAGCGACAAAAAATACAAGGTCCCATTTGCGACGCAGTTTAGCTCCTGGCAGTCAATGCAGTTTAGCTCCAGATTTTTTAGCAGCCAGCAACATTCTCTAATGTTCGGTTAAAACACATGATTTTTTTTGTTGCGGGTTGATTTAAAGTCAACAAACTAAAGCAATGTTCTTTCCCCCCCCTTTCAGGTAATAAGAGACTATACTACGCCTCCAAATGAGGAGCTATCTAGAGACTTGGTCAACAAGCTGAAACCTTATATCAGGTACAAGCAAGAGTTCCAAAGAGAGTCCTACTCAGCACTTTTATTACAGGTCTCTGAATGTGTTACTCCATGAAAAGAAAAGAAAAAAAAAATTACATTTGTCTGTTTAACACATACAATTTTTGCTTCTGTCTTATTTTCCTCGCAGTTTTTTGAATCAGTGTCGCCCTCTGTCAGCCAGCATGGGTAATGCAATCAAATACATCAAGAAAGAGATCTCCAATATTCCTAGTCAATGCAAAGAAGAAGAGGTTCTTGTCACACTTGATACACTCATACAACGTGTTGTATATTCCATAGATACCATAGACTTAATGTTACCGATACACAGTTTACACCCCCCTCTCATGATTTCTTCTTCTGTTCAGGCAAAGAGCAAACTGCTGAGCTGTATCGAGTGCTACATTAAAGAGAAGATCATCCTCGCTGCTGAAGCTATTGCCAAGTACTCCATAGAAAAGATCAGCGACGGAGACGTCATCCTAGTTTATGGATGGTAAGACACTTAAAGCTGACATGCAAGGAACAACATTTAGTTTAAATGTCATTCGTGTCTCCAGACCGCTTTTTAACACTTTCTCTTCCCTTTTCTTGCCTCGCCTGTGAAGCTCCCATCTTCCTTCCACATTCTCTAAACCCGCCATTCTCTAAACCCGCCATCTCTTCTTCCATGTCTGCCTCAGCTCGTCGCTGATCAACCACATCTTGTGCGAGGCCTTTGAGAAGAAAAGGAAGTTCCGCGTGATCGTGGTGGACAGCCGGCCCCGACTGGAGGGCCGGGAGGCCCTGAGGCGCCTCGTCCAGAGAGGCATCAGCTGCACCTACGTCCTCATCTCGGCCGTCTCCTACATTCTTCCAGAGGTACATTCGCACGTTCGAGAAAGGTGTTCATATTTACCCAAAGAGTAGCCAAAGCAAATACAAATATTTTCTCTGTTTTTTTTGTGTGTTTATGTCGTAATAAAGCTTTGATCTTGGACCTCCACAGGTATCCAAGGTGTTCCTTGGTGCTCACGCTCTGCTGGCCAACGGGTACGTCATGTCCCGCGTGGGGACGTCACAGATAGCTCTGGTAGCCCGAGCCTTTAACGTGCCTGTGCTGGTGTGTTGTGAGACCTACAAGTTTTGTGAGAGGGTGCAGACGGATTCCTTTGTGTCCAATGAACTAGGTATGGAAAAAAATAAATAGTCGGCGGCTGGTTGGGTTTGTTGAATTGTTTCCGTAAATATGTCATGTCAAGTACTGCTCTCTGCTCAGTTGTACCCGTGTGTAATTAGAGAGTGAATCTCCATCTGTGCGTTCCAGATGATCCCGATGACCTCATTGTGACGCGTAAAGGGAAGACCCAGCTGGAGCACTGGCAGCAGGTGCCCTCACTTGGCCTGCTCAACCTGGTGTATGACGTGACGCCGCCAGACTTCGTGGACTTGGTCATCACAGATCTGGGAATGATCCCGTGCACCTCGGTCCCTGTGGTGCTCAGAGTCAAAAACGTGGACCAGTGAACAAGCTGCTGCTCAGAGGCGCTTTCTCTGTTTATTATTTTTTTGATGGGGGAAGTTTGTGAGCTTGAACACTTGCACACAACACAAAATATCATGCTTTGAGCATGCAATAAATATATATCTGAAATGGCAAAGGCTTCTTTTAAACAGAGTCCATTTGTGTTTTTATGGGATTGGATAATTACAGATTTGTTCCCTCGGGGTGAGGAGGGGAGTTCTGTCTTTTTTTTTTTTTTTTAAATATCAGGTAAAGGCTAGATGTTTTATTAGATCTTTGTTGTGAATGTTTCTTTACAACTGAACATTTAATTGCCTGTATTTAGAGCAGAACAATTCCACTGTGGTTCACAACACGCACTCATTGCAATTTAAACTAGCCAGAAATGGTTTCCTAATCACTCTCAGAGCTGCAGTACAGTATCTATGAAGAACTTATGAGAGCCATAACATTCCTCTGGCTAGTTTTTAGGGAACGGATCATTTGAACAAGATAAAGTGAGACATAAACCCGGTAGTCAAATATATATTTTTTTGGCAAAGGATGTCAGACTGTTTGTTATGTAGTCAAAGTCAACACATGGTGCTCACATGCTTCAAATCTCATATTGGAACACAAGTTATCCACAGATACAGTTTCCTTGAAAGCAGCCATTTATTAGTTAATGCACTAGTTGATATTCCGTTGATATCTAATGAACATACCAGGACTGTTTATGACAACGTACGTCTTAACTAATTAGGCGACATTTCCAGAAACGAGTCCACAAAGGGTGTTCAAATTTACAAATGCTTGTATTTGCATGTTTCCATGGCGGTAACTCAAGCAAAGCAATATATATGTATTATTAATATTTTCAGAACCCTGAATGAAAAAGTGAAACTAACTTGTTTCATCTTGGAATCGAAACACACAAGATGTGGTAACAGCATAACAGCAAACCGATAACATACTGAAGTCCTTCAGTTAAACTCAATGTCTCACTTTTTTTTAACATAACTTCATACAGAAAATCTTTTGATGATCCACATCATGATTCATCGAGGGAACCTGACTTGGGTTTTTTTGCTCTGAGTGTTCAACATGAAGTAAACAATTTGCCGAATTCTACAGATGTCCTCTAATGTGCATTTGGACACGTAGCTCTATCGTGTAAACTCACACATTCAGTGCATGTTTGGCACAATTAACAGCAAACAAATTCTCAGAATTTTCTTACACATTTCGTTAATGTCTCGTGTCGGTCAACTACATTTAAAAATAGAATTATAATGGTAACAGTGGTATTGCCAAAAATGTAAAAACTATTTAAAACAGATAAAAATAAAGTTAAATTAAACAATGTTTAAAAGAAGTCTGAGGTCATCTCAGACTCTGTGTCAGCATCTTCCCTTTCAGTTTCAGCTCAGTAGATCATTGCAGGTAAAGAAGTGGATTGCAGTTCAGCCTCACTGTGACTTGACCTTCCGTCTCTGCGTGGCCCACAGCAGGAAAGAGACCACAACCGTAAACGCCCCGAGAGGCCCAAACACCAGGAGACTAGGGAACTCCCCCTATTGACAAATGACAACAAAGACACAAGCAAAAGAGTCACCAATGTTAAACTAGTGAAATACACAACATGAATGATTAACACGAAGCTGCTCGCAGGAACTGACCTCTCGAAGACACTTGTATCCGTGAAAGTTGACCGCACAGCTGCACTCGAAGAAGCTGGGGCCGTAGGGGGCGCAGAGGGAGTTCTCCGGGCAGTTGATGGCTGAGGATTGTTAATAATTATGAGATGAATGCTTGTCAAGTATTACCAGAAGGCTACTGCAGTGTTTAGATCAGATGGGAACTTACACAGCTGTCCAGTCTGGTTGCACATATCTTTCTGGCCTTCACAAAGGCGGTTTCCCTCTTTGATCTCCACCTTTTCCCACGAAGTGTTGCCCCCTGGACAAACTATGTGTTGTGGCAAAATCCTACAGACACACAAAAACATTGACTTTTAAAGAGATAATGCTTCATATTAGGAGCAGCTGTCACAGTTAAGTGTTTATGACAGAATACTTACAAGAAATTTAACTCAGTAAATCCTTGAAATGCCGTGTCGCTGATGTTGACAATAGGATTGAGTGAGAGGTCTCTGAAAAGAGAGTTTTTAAAGTTAAAAAGAGCAACAACAAAATGGTTCCATATGGATACTGATAATAAACAACAAATAAGACATGTTTGTACATTCCTTATATATTAGAAGGGCTCTAATTGTGTACTTGTGTGGGGTTAATCTAATCCTCTAAGAATTCTTCTTTCCTCAGAGTAGTTGAAAAGTTGAGGTCTTTGCTGCTCGGAATAGAAACTTTCCTCACTTCCAGGCCCAAGCAACTCATCAACACTAAAAACATTCTGAGGCATCGCCCACGTAAGTATTTTTTCCTGTACACATTACTGAGCGTTATGAAATTGTAGTAACTGTACATACATCATTAATGCTTTTGATGCTCCATGAAAATCCTCCACGTGAGTTAGTGAACAATTAGACAGATCCAACCTGATACAAACAACAACAAAAAACCTTATTATGAAGATTTCTATTTAAGTTACACACGATGTCATTGGTATTACACTGAGACAAAGAGTACATCATTAGCAGCCTACCTCCTAATTATCATATTGACAAAGATAAACAAATACAAACAAGTACAGCTGACTTAAAATCGAGGGAAAAAATACATTTACTTGTTTTTTGTTTTATTTACTTATTCATTTATACGGGTGTTACATCATTTTGTTTTACTTTTACCCCATCTGGTTATCCACACGCCATTTACTCAAATGTAACCTCTGTTTTCGACAGACCGTGAAGGCGTCATTGAAGTCCTACCCGATGATGTGTTCAGGGTCGCCCGTGTTGTCATGTCTCAAGCAGCAGCGCCCGTCTATCCGACCAGCGGACGAGGAGCAAAACTGGCCCACTGCGGTGCCGTTCAGGACCGCGCCGCTGCAGAGCTCACATACCTGCGATTACAATGCATTACGAAGGGGAGAAAGAGGTTGTAAACAACAATATTTCCGATCATCCCATTGAACAGCCACCAAAACTCGCTGTTTGTGTCATTTACTTATTCTAGTAGAAACCACAGCTGTAATATTGCCAAATCCAAGTCTTACCTGCAGGTCGTTCAGTTGATAACTTGCGTAAAAACATAAATTCAAGATCAAAACAAGCACTACAGGTTTAAGCTGGCTGCATCCAGCTATCATTTTCATCGACTGAAGTCATATGACTCTACTGTAACGGACATGTGACAGGAAGCAGGTCCAACACACGATCTACAAGTCTAACTCTATTTTGCGCTGCAATTACGCATACACTCAATTTAAAGCATAGTATACGATTATGTAGTAAATAAAAAACTGCAGCGCATGAATACATATTGTAAGCATCTAGCTTGTTCATTTCTGCAGAAAAAAATACAACATTTCTAAATAATTAATTTAGCAGTGAATCAAAAAGCCTTAATTTAATGTTTTAATGCTGTCAATGGATGCAACACCTTCAATGCATTCGGACATTTGTTTTCATTTATAATCTATGTATGACATAAGTCCATCAGTCAAAGTAGATTGTGACATTACAGTCCTATTTCATTACATTTCTAGAATTGTTGACAAAATCTAGACGCATTTTTTTTCAGACTGTAATGAATTTTGACTGCGCTTTCGCTGTCACTTTGGGTTGCACCAAATAAAGTGTGTAATTTAAGTTGGATGATCTTATAAGATTCAAAATATATAAAAAAAACATTTCAGTGACAAATGTATGTTATTGTATTATAGCGTTATGCATTCCTGTGTGAGATGTGTGACGGAAATTATGCCTGTTTTGCCTTTTTTTCGTACCCGCGAAGAGTGAACCACCCCCCGCGGCTGAAAATTAGATGGTTTCGCCCAGAGGGATTGTTGCAATGCCTCTTGATGGGCCACCAGATACACTGAACACAGAATGACTTAAACGGCGCTGGTACATCTTCCTTCTCTGCGATTTCTATCACGTTTTACCTATGAGTTTCCTCCGTCGTCGTTTATATTTTTCTTCCGCAAATGTAGGAGACAAGCCAAATAAATCAAACCACAGAAAGTGTAACTGTCTCCCCTCATATTTCGAAAGGTTTTCCAACAGGCTCTGCGACGCTGTGTTTTTTTTTGCAGGAAGCAACTGCACCTTTTACGGCGAAACTTCATCTGGTTACGCTAATGAATACAGGCACCTGTGCACGTTGCAACTCAAACATCACAGTAGGTGGTTTTAAAGTTATCACGAATTATTAAAAAGTGGGTTAAAAGGGATTTTTTTTTTTAACGCCAACACTGAAGGTGCAATTACTTAACACTTGCAACATGGCTGCTGCGGGAACGGCAGTGAGAAAAGTTTGACACTGACGTGGGATAAGTTTTATGCGAATGCTAGTTGGTGCACGAGTTGTTGGCCAGAGATTAGAGTCGTCAACGGTCTCTCTCTCTCTCTCTCTCTCTCTCTCCCCCCCCCCCCCAGCCTGGCAGCGCTTTACTCGGACTACAAACCAGCGGATAGACCGTGTGAGAGCCGCCTCCTCCTCCGTAGTCACCGCCGACAGTCACTGCAGTGGACTTATCGTGGTGTCTTCCTCTCCATCGTAAAGCTGTGGTGGCGTTAAAGAGAAGAGGACTGGTCGTCTGACGCTAAAAATGCATTTTTCCATACCCGAAACGGAGGTTCGTTCGGGAGAAAATGGATCAACCTATGTGGTGAGCAATGATAATTTGTGTTTTTACCACGCTTTCACTGGCTTCATCTGCCCACAGGTCGGGCTAATGTCAATGCAGCAAGAGTTCCTGTTATAAAAGATCTGATCGCATGAACGGTGGTGCATCACCATGGGGCCACACTGCTGCCTAATGCAATACAGATAAACAATCAGCTACAGCCTCAGTCAGACTACAAAATACCCATTTGTATCTCAAATGCAATCTGCATACAGATACAATCTAGATAGGCGTGAGTAAGTTGAGTCAGAGTCATCCTGCATAGACTGACTGTGTGAGGCCATTGAACGCACCAGTAGGAAAGGTAAACAACCCTCTGGGAGTCACTTTGCTTTTACAGGTTTGGATTTCTGTCTGATAATTGGAGTTTGCCGCCATGATGTCACCCTCCTCCTTGTTGTTTACAGCCAACATTGCTTTCACTTTGTTTGTTGTCAAGTCCCTCGACTAACGAGCAATATAGCAGCCTTGACAGCAATAATCTGTGGCTCCATCATCTCGCTGTGCAGGAACTTTCCCATTTCCTAACTGTGTGTTTTACGTTACTTGTCTCATTGTCTTTAATGTGTCAGACCATGTTGACCTAAAAAAACACGTTTCTGCATCTGGAGGTTTCATAGAAGAATGCAGCTGTTCTGATATTCACCAGATGCTGTGAAATAACATCTGATTTTCATGTGACATCACGCTGGCTCTTGTCAGTGTTACACACCTGCGAATGACTATCCTCCATCTTGACTCCATGTGCTCCAAAGAGGGGAAAAAACACATCTTGGAATGAGCTCATTCATTTTGAACATGTTGGTGTCCCTGCTACAAAGTCAGCTTTAGATGTAAACTTAAATATACTTTTTTTTCCTGTAGTGAACACTATTAGATTTATTTATGTTCCGTAATCGCCTCCTCTTGCTGCTGAAAGTCAATAGTTTCTAAATTGAGCATTTCAGGTGCCCCCTCTGGCTTGTTTCTACCTGGCTGAGCACGCATTTATTTACCCTGCACAGCAGTGGGCGCTTCCACAGCGACTGTTTCCCCCCCCCCTCGGCTGACAGGCATGTGACTGTCGCTGTGACCTTCCTGCATCTATCCCACAGGAAGGGACTTTGCTTGATTATAATGCTGAGCGATGGGATGTGTACCTTGGAACCAGTAAGCCACAGAAACTGCAGTGTTTGCAAACAGCCTTTTAGAATTACAAGGGCTGCAGTTTTTTTTTGTTTTGTTTTTTTTAAATATGGTGCAAGGGGACATCTTTTTATTTTGAGTGCTCACACTTCCTCTTGTCTGTTGGACTTGCATGTCTTCCTCTGTGGTTCACGTCGTATTCTGTTTGAGGGTGCGTAAAAGAGAGGTGGTGCCACTGTTAAGTGATGGTGACTCATTTACTTTGGATGAGGAACAGGTTGGGACTAAAATGAACAACTTCATCTGTTTATAGTTTTGTATTAGCTTGCATCTGCCAGTGAGCAATATCTATAAACTTAAAATGTGTTTAAAAAAAAAAGAAGCCGCTATCTTAGAATTCCTCAGACTGAATTAGATTTCTTCCTCCACACACTTCATACTAGTGAGAGGATGTATGTGGAGGTGCCGGGCTGTTAAATAGAGTAACGCCTGCAAACTGACTCCAAAGTACAAATGTATTTAAATAGACAATGTTTGGTCAGGTCAACAACAGTTTCATCGAGTCTAAATGCATTTTTGTGTGCATAAAAGAGCAATAGATCATAGGGTTTGTGTTGTTGTCCCCAAGTTGAACTGCCTGCTGTACAAAAAAGCCAAAGGGTTATTTTTGTGTGTGTGTGTGTGTGTCTGTTATCAAGCAGATCCAAGACATTCTGCATACTCATTCTTCTTTCCGGCCTGGATTCTGCCGACATGCACATCGTTCAGTTACTTCGGTGGCCTTCCTCCAAACTCGTTCTCCTTCCTCGTTGACTCTGGACGTGTTGGTGTGTTCTTACTCTGTGTTGCTGGTTGATTGGTTGTAGGTCAGCAACAGTACGTGCACCAGTGGGGTCAAGTGTCTTTCAGCCTTTTTTTTTTTTAATGTTTTGACAGATGACCCACCATGTTGATTATAAATATTCATTTGAAAGGAAAGGAAAGATCAACTTCATCTTAGTCGTATCATGATTTAGTTTTTTTGGCAGTCTTTGACCATGACTTATTGTCAGTGTGGTGGGGAAAAAGTTTCTATGTCATGTTTTTTTGAGCTATTTAAAAAAAATAAAAAATGGACAGACTTAAATAAACAAACTTGTGGTACCTTACGAAAGACACGCTTCTGCTTCAGTCCAAGAGAGCTGTATTGTAAGTGAGCCAGTATTTGGGCAAACTGAAATATATTTTTCTTTTCCCCGAGTGCGTAACTAAAGTATCACTTTGTTATTCTAGTGGTTTTGTCTCATTCCCAATGCTTAATGAGGCACAGGACATGAAAAATAGATTGGCTCTAAACATGATGGCTACCAGATATTTGGGCTGCTGATCCCGAATGGTGGTCTTGTAGATAAATATTCAGCGATATCTCCTCGTCTGTGTGTCAAAACACACCGGTGGTGTCTCAGGGAAAGAATGAAAGATGTGATCTTTGCCCTTTCGTGTTGTTTCGAGCCTGCGTTGTGCAAGCTGTTTTGATTGGAAATTGAAATTTGCTTGGATTGAGTCCAATTCCAATGGTGCTGTGATGAGACTGGGTGGAAGAGATTGAGGTTGTTTTGAGGCGGTGTGAGGGGGAAACTTACTGTATGTTCAGGTCATAGGACGATAACTTGTTTTAAACACCTTAAGATGTGCATCTGAAGAAAGGCGACTCAGCTTTGGTCTCCGTGGGAAAGTATCATGTTAACTTTATACTCAAAGAAAGGCTATTATTTTATACGTATCTATTTTTCCTTCTTATGTTCCTACTGTTTGATGTCCACCCACAAGCGTTTCAGACGGATGCATACAAGCTTCTGATGATGTGTTTCTCTGCACCATGTCAGACCTTCACACGGTCTTTCACATTTTCATTCGTCCCCTCTCTTTCCCACAGGCCTACAACATCCACGTCAACGGCGTGCTGCACTGCCGGGTGCGCTACAGTCAACTCCTTGGCCTCCACGAACAGGTAAGGCTTCAGCCGTCACAATGAAAACCCCCATTGCTGCTTTGGACCAGAAGTGAACTGGTCTGCTTTGCGAGGTGAAGCCGGACTCTGTTTAAATGGCACCACGTCCACCCGGGGCGGGTGACCTTTTCCACTCGTTTTTGTGTCACAAAGACCTCCCATCACTTTGAATATCACGGCCACGGTGGCTTGAAGTCTTGTGCTGTTAGTCCTCCCAGAGTCCGAACTGTTGCATGTAAACGGGGCAGTATTGTGGAAGAGGTTGGGGGGGGGAAGGGGGGAAGGGGAGACGGGGACGTGGGACGTGGAAGGAATGTTCTTGGCCTTTCTTTCACTTCACCTGCTTGGAAAAAGCATCTTAATCTGAACGAGAAGTGTCGAGTTGCCTGCATTACACAGACACAGCTATTTGTTTGAGCTGTTTTTTAGGCAATTCGTTTATTTAGTGTCTACTTGTATTTTCTGTAGCGCTGCGGTTAAAAGTTGACTTAATTGTGGAAGTGCTTACCGTACATTTTCTTTGGGAAACGAGTGCCTTTGCAGAGGTAGATGCATCGTCTATAAGACACATATTTGCTGTGTTTCTGGCTGACAGCCTGTGAGCTCTTTGAGCTATAAATGTGTACATATACTGTAACACAACCCTTATAAAAGTGGCCAGTCGTGTGTGTTTTTTCACACATTAACAAAAAAAAAAAGCAAAGCGAGGCCCAAACTTTGCCGTCTCCGTCCTCACGTCTGGAGTCTTGACAGTTGCTGTTGCCTGGCAACAGGGTTTGGGGAAGACACACTGGCATCTTTAAGAACCTTCAGAGAGGGCTTCATGTGGCGCACGCATGACCCCAAAACACTCCTGTGATTGCAGGGCACACACACACACACACACACACTCACACACACTCTCCCCAGTTATTGCTGAGGAATTAGAATGTTAATTGTTTTCTTCTCTACAGATTTGTAACGAGGTCGCACGTCTGTTGGAGTCGGAGCTTATTTAAAACCAACAGTGGAAACTCATTTATTTCAGATTTTGGCGGGGGGGGGGGCTCTCTGATGCGTCTGTAACCTTTGCTTTGTGTCTGTGGCTACGAGAGCTGATTTGTATGTGGTACCAGTGCCGGCACTGATGTAGTGAAAATACCAAAGGGCAGTGTGTTGAGGTGAAAATCCCCTCTCTCTTCCTCAAGCACCCACCGGGGCCCAACCTTCATCATGCCATATGTGCAGGACCTCAGGGTTTTATAGCGAGAAAGAAACGTCCTTATGATGAACATGATGTACAGCGTTACTAAACCACATGTGATGTGTGATTTTTATTTATTTTTTTTATTTATTTTTTTTAATTTTTTTATTTATTTATTTATTTTTTTATAAGATCTGTGAGGGCTTAGTTTAAGACTTCCACGGTTCAAAGCTACCAGCCAAAGGGAAGAAATGAGTCAAGAAGCTGGAAGACAAAGTAAAGTTGGAATGACTAGACGGTCAGGGTTCCGTGTGTGTGTGTGTGTGTGTGAGTGTGAGTGTGAGAGATGCACGGAAACTCCAGCAGCTAGTCGTTGAAAGGGGCTTAAAATAAACCTGTGATTCATCTCCAGCAGCATGACTGTACCTCCTTTAGAAAAAAGAATCCAGGACTCTTTGATTTAAGATGCTGCTACTTCTGCTTCTGTTCTGTCCTGAAGTTAATTGGTTTGTAAATCTGTTTTCATTGATTTTCTAAATTTAAATAGAAAAAGGTTGAATAGCTTGTCATCCTGAAACCTCACCCTTCTCACAACTTGTGCTTTGTACCAACAGATAAAGAAGGAATATGGCAGCAACGTGGTGCCTGCGTTCCCTCCAAAGAAGATCTTCACTTTGACTCCTGCTGAGGTCGAACAGAGACGAGAACAGCTGGAGAAATACATGCAGGCCGGTAAGTTATTCATGCCGAATGGACTTTTTTTTTTTTTTTACAGATGGCTTGTATTGCGTTTCACTCCGTTTCTAGCTGAATTTAGATTCCAGCTACAATGTGGTTGTTTTGGTCAGTTTCTAAACGAGCCTGCTATCCTTCTTTGACTTGCAGTGCATGCCTCCCTGAGGGATGTTATGATAGAACAAAAAAAAAAAAAGTTGTTTTTGTAGCAGTATAGCTTCACAGCAGAAACACAATTTCCTTTAAATATTTGCTTTTTTACACAACAATCACAAGAGTGAGTTGGCTCTGTGTCTGCAGGGAGTCCAGCCATACACTGGTCTATTCATGCCATATAAAAGTGTTTCACTAAAGAGCTGATGATCTGAGCCAACACTAGACAGAGTTATGCTGACACACCTGATGGAAAAAACGAAAAAGTCCCTGCTCAGGATTTCACACCTGGTAGGGCTTTTAAAAAGTTTTATGGGTTTGGCTTCTCTTGTGATGATGAGAGATACATACTCTTCTTCTCTGAAATGAAAAGAGAATGCTATAAAGTATAATTCATATTTCTGTGCTGTCAGGAAGAGAAACTAGTTATTTTTGGGGTAAAAATGTCTGCATGTGAAGGGTTTAAAAGCTTTGTAGTGTTAAGTGTTCAATCCAATTGGAGTTGTTCTTATCCTAATTTGGCAGGTTTTCACCATATTGCCCCAAATATTGCACACACACACACACACACAGGCTCAAATAAGTGGAACTGGCAGCAATGCAGAGGGTTTGTTTTAATCCTCTCAAGCACAGGCAGTTACAGCAGAACAAGGAAGCGTTGTTCAAGTGTGTGTTTGCTCATAGTCTGGGAGCATACGCACACAGGGTGTTCTTGGCTACTAGTTCACTCGGTTACATCATGGCTTTTTACATAGTTATGGAAAATGACCTGCCACAAACACAATCTGCTCTGACGCAGATGGCTCAGAGCTCTGACATTTTGTCAAAAGTGTTGGACTCATTTGTAAAAGGACAATAGTGCGCACACACACACACACACGCACACACACACACACTGGGTTATCATGCAGATAATTGAATGCACTACACTGCAACTGAAAACTGCCTCAATAGAAAGCCAAAGACATGATGTTAAGAGAGTTAGTCATCTGGTCTTTTGTTTACCAGTTCAGAGGACTACATTACGATGAAACTGGCTTGTAATAATTTTCAGTCAGTTGAACCGATGCCAGAAAACACTTGCTTTCCATTTTCAGCTGAATTGCCTCGGTGAGTGTCGTGAAAGGTCAAAACCCATTCCACAGGACCAAAATGAAATTCTGTGATAAGAGGGAGAATTAAGAACAATTGGGAAATGGCTTCCCCCTGAGGTTTATATGTTTACATAACGTCCACTTCAAGACCCTTCGCTAATTGTTAGGTTATCAGTTCAAAACTCTCCTTGACTTCCTCTGCTCCTCCCTCAGTGAGATATGACTCATTTTGTACTCGAGTTGCTCACTTCTCTGCTCTTTTCTTTTCCACAGTGCGTCAGGATCCCTTGCTTGGAGCCAGTGAGATGTTCAACAGCTTCTTAAGGAAAGCCCAGCAGGTTGGTCGTGCGTGTCTGCTTCAATCCACTGGACCGCCATCAGCGCGTTTGTTACTCTGTTTGCGTAGACGCGGTCATCGGGCCTTTGAGGACGCAAAAGGCCGATGCGGTCATTTCTTCCCGACTAGTAATTTCTTTTGGTAATGCGGACAGGTGAGGTAGTTGTGTTCTCACCATTTGTCGCAGTTTGCGGCAGCGTGTGCTCTTACATCTCAGATTTGAGTTTGCCTCGCAAGCAGAAAACGGGTGAAATGATCACGTCGGACACATAACCGAGGGGAAAGCAGCCTCTTAACAAATAGAGGAACATCGTTGCATCGTGTCTTTTTAAACGATTGTTTTAGAAAAAAAAGATCAAAGTCAGCTAATGAGTCATCTCACCAGATCTGCAGTACTAAACATGCAAACGGATATTAGCTGAAGTGGATGATGCTGTAAAAAAAAACAAAAAAAAAAAACAACAGAAACTCCATGGTGTGTTTTTGCTGCCTGAGAGAAACGAGTGTAGCGTCAGTGACGCATTCAGAGCAGGTAGCGAGAGGTTGTTCGTCATCATTCAAGGAGGGCTGTAAATCCAATAACCTTCATGGCCCGATTCATCCGTCTGCTGCCACATCACACACCCGTTCTGCTTCTCCTCCTCTCTCTCATTGGAGTCTGTGTTTGTCTCTCCCCCCCCCTCCCCTCCCCCAGCACCTTATGCACTGCGAGCACAGCAGGTGCAAAATAGTAGATGAGTTACCACCCGGTGTTGTTGTTTCATCAGCACCTTCAGTGGTAGGGATGTACTTGGAAGACCCCCCGACGACATAGGGAAGATAAGCGATGATGATTTAGCAGCGGGGGTGAGAGAGGACAGCAGAGCCCGGGGTTCTCCACTTTAACATTTCAGATATTCCTTTTATCAGCTCGCAAGCTATTATTTAGGCACTTGAAATATTCATAGGTTTTGGCAGTTTATTGTGCTTACTTGTTATTCATTGCTTTTGTGTTTTTTTTTTTTTTGTTTTTTTTTGTTTTTTTTTTTTTGTTTTTTTACAAGTAATGCCGTTCCCTTAATTTCTGTGTGAGCTCAGAGTAGTGCACGTTTTTGACGGTTGGAGCTCTGAGACACTAGTATGGAGATTTTCACCTTCTTTGACACGATAGACATTCGGGTAGCTCGTCTGTTATGTTTTTTTTAATCTCCGCTGGATATTTGCCTCCTCTTTGACCAGCCCATATTTCTTTTCTGCCCCCGAGACTCGATTTGATTTTGTTGTTGACCGATAGGAATGAAAACACATCGCTGACCCACGAAGCTGAAGGAAAGTTATGTTTTTTGTGTGTGCTTCCCACAGGAGACGCAGCAGATTCCCACAGAAGATGTCGCTCTAGACATCTGCCTCTCCAACGGTCAGAAGGTTACCGTCAACATTCTGACTTCAGATCAGACGGAGGACGTCCTTGATGTAAGTGTGCGCTGTGAAAGAGTACATCAATGTTTCACAGACACTACTGACTGTATCGTAAATCAAATGAAGTCAATATAGACCCTTTTCATTACAGCAGCCGTGACAAGAATTTATGAAGTCAGAGCTGCTTCGATTGAACTCACCAAAGAAAATAAGAGTGTACACATATGGAACTAACTCGGACGCCTTGACCAATTGATTTCAACATGTGGGGTTTTCTAGTTCAGATTGTGACTGTGACCAAACGTGTTCGTACTTCACCCCTGCTTGTCCTTTCGTTGCTCTTGCCTGTGAATCTCGTGCGTTTGAACTTTCACAAGTGCTCTTGTGAAAGTTTAACCACAGTTGACCTCTGTTCATCACAGCAAGTCTCAGGGCACAGTACTCTCACTCACAACAAAGTGTGTGTTTCAGTGACCAGAAATAGCTATTTTTTGCGGTGTGTTTACTCAAAAATTACACTTCATGCTTGCAACGTTTGTGTCCGTCTGCGGTTGAACTGCTGGAGTTGACAGATAAGAATAAGTACTACGAGCACAAGTCAGCAAAAATAGTTGTTGATAATGTTATGTCAGCGAGCGCCATCGCTTCATGTGAGAATGTGATAATTATGCCTTGTGAAGGACTGGAAATAGATATTAAGAAACTATCTTCTGATTAAAAGATTTGTTTTCTTATCGAGGTAACTGCTTGGATGGATTTTATATTAATTTGTGATGTTTTGCAAAGCCATCCTTCAACCACATCTCTGCATTTCTTATAACTGACTGAAAAATAAGAATTAGAAGAAGGAATGAATGAAATTCAATCATTGTGAAAACTAACTCCCTCGTTTTTCTGCAGGCTGTTGCAACAAAGCTCGACCTTCCAGATGACCTGGTCGGTTACTTCAGCCTCTTCCTCGTCCGTGAAGGTGTGGATGGAGGTTTAACATGTAAGTCCAAACAACGTTTGTTCTAATATTTAGCTTTCATTGCTAATAGAATGTATTCTCCGTGTATCATTATTACTGCAGAGTATTTAGAGGCAACCTAGAATGTACTTTAAGGCTTGAAGTTTGTTTGTGAAACGTTAAAACTGGAAACTATCAGATAACCAGCAAACAAAATGTGCCGTACACGAAGCGCTTTGATAAAATATTGTAAATAAACCGACTTCATCAGCCAGCCAAGGACTATTCTCAGAAGACACGCGGAACTGATCGGACAGCATCTGTTATGTTGCACCGAGGAATAACCAAAGAGAATGCAGTAATGTGACGCTCTTGATTTACATTCTCTTCCTCTCTAAATTCCCCACAATTTGGAATCAAGTTGGCAACCGTCATCTGTTTATCTCTCTCACCGTTTGGAGATGTACTGCAGTTTAATTTAAAAAACGAAGAGCCGCATTTCCTCGTGAGAGATGCCTCTTGTGTCGGGGTTCCTCTGTATATCTCTGCCGAGAGTGCATCATTGATTTATTAGCTGCTCGGAAGCTCAGTGAGAAGTGTGTGTGTGTGTGTGTGTGTGTGTGTGTGTGTGTGTGTGTGTGTGGGCCAGTTCCTGCAGAAACAGTTGTGCTGTGTTTCAAGTAGCATGAGCGCGCTCGCCAGGCTGTGTGCAGTGTTTTCAGGTTGAGAATGTGTTTGTTGTGCTCTAAAGTCTTTTCTTGGCTAAATGCAAAATGACATTTGATTCACCGGCTTACTTCTGATTAGTCAGGCCTTTATTCAGACAACTGCAAGTGGATTCTACCATTTAGATATTAGACTATTTCTTTATGATTTATTTCCAACAACACTGTGTGTCATGGTCCTTCCTGTTAATAAGGGAAGTCAGTTCACAGGAGGACAATAGATAGTTTGATACTTTATTAATCCCGTTGGGTAACTTTCGTGTTACAGCAGCAGCAACGGCAAAAGAGAAGAAATACGTAATGTAGACATTTAGAATGAAGACGTAGTGCCTGTTAATATTCTATTCATGGTTTGCTCAAGTCTGCGGTATATTGTATATTGTCATGTATTAATATGACAAGGTGCTTCACTGGGATTGCAAACATGGTCTCAAAAGTGAGTTGGTTTCATGTCAGTCAGTCGTATTTGTTAACCCTTTTAAATATATGTAAATGCATGAAAATGCATTAAAAATGACTAAATAAATCTTAGTTTCTCACCTTCCTGACTTAATATAAAGCTTAGCAGGTTTCTGATTACTGCCCCAACAATTTAGGTTCACGTTATTTGCCATCTTTCAAGCTGTGTTGTCTCAAGTTTCTTTGAAAAAACATTTATTTAGTTTCTAATTGTCATTAAGTCACTTTGTTTTCAAACTTCTATCATGTTCTCACATTGCCTTCTGTGCCCTTTACTTTATCCCGTTTACTCCCTTAACCCTTCACACCAGTACTCACAGGGTGCCCACATATTTGTTTGCACTCACTTGTTGACTTATAAGGAACTGTGTGAATGCAAATCATAGCAGAATATTTACATTTCACAAGGCCTACCACAGTGGCACAGGCACAACACTTTCCACACCAAGATATTTACATTTCACGATCCCTTTCTTTTCCAACTCATCACAGCCCTGTCGGGTCAGATCCCCTCTCAGTCCCAAAAAGGTTCTCTTCTCTCATCCTCCACCTGCCCAATGCTCCCTCACGCCGAGTCCATTCCAGGCTGGAAAAGGTTCCCGGCGAACTCGGAGGAGCCTGTAAATATTGCAGGCATGTTGTATATACAGACAGTTTAAATCTGAATCTCTTGAGTGCTATGGAAGAGAAGGGCCATGTGTTGACTTCGACCCGACTACCAGAATAAATCCGGCGCAGCAGCAGGCCGCAGATCAAACAAAACTGCTGGTGGGTGTATTGACATAACGGGATAGCTCGAAGAATTCAATTCCTTTCTGACAGGCAGTAGGTTTCCAGACATCTGTGTGTGTGTGTGTGTGTGTGTGTGTGTGTGTGTGTGTGTGTGTGTAAATCCACGTATGCGGTTAAATACGCGAAGGCATGTCAAGAATATGTGGTTTGAAATGGCGGGGCCCGGTCTTATCTGCAGTTCTTTTTGCAGTTTTCTGCTGATGATTTAGTCGAACCAAAAACATTTGAAGCATTCAGTTTGTTTGTTTTTGTTTATTCCTGCAGACATTTCCATCAGCAAACCAACCGTCATGTGTTTCTGCTTCCTGTACACAGCCTCTCTGCCCATAAAGTACTAAACATACTTTACAAAACCTAAAGGCAAACAAGGCGCTGTTTAGTCATCAGATTTGTAGTGTTGTGCACATTTCTAGACGCCTGAAAACACAGCAGCAGCCCCACTAAGCACCTGAGACCTCCTTCACGCTCCTCGGGGAACAGTCAGCAATGAAACAGCTGCAGATTAGGGACACACACACGCACAGGCGTGGAGCCCATTATCTTTTTTTCACATTTAAATACTCACACACACGCACACAAAGTTTTACCCTGCCTGCTGGGACCTGTCCAGATGGAGTTCTCCCATCCCTCGTTGTTTGTTGTTACCGTCATTATCCAAATGTCCTTGGGCCTTACTTTACTGGAGCTTCCCTTGTTGCTTACTCTCTATTTTTATTGTCTCTCTCTCGCTCTCTCTTAGTTGTGCGGAAGCTGCAGGAGTTTGAGCTGCCTTATGTATCCATTACCAGCTTGCGGAGCTCTGAGTTTCACATACTCCTACGGAAAAGGTACCCACCCACTACCTGCTCACATCATGACGTTGGATTTTCATCATGTTCTTCCCAAAGTGCTCTCCACCACGTGTAATTATTGCTGTGATTCATTGTCCAGAGTATGCATGTGCTCTTTGTCAAATCGCGTCAAGAAGCAGGTCGGATACCTTCGGCTTGGTGAGCAGTACATTAACTACATGTGCTGCGCTTGATGTCGTTTTAATGAGTCAACCAGCCACTGTTTTCTTTCTTCGTTCTGGGTGTTTCTCATTCCGTTCCTTATCTACAGGGAAGCACTTGTTCTTAATCTGTCAGAGCAGTGCTTTGCCTAACCACAGGTGGCCTATCTGACTTCAACATCTTCTACAAAGTGGCAGTTCAGTTGGAAAAGAAACCATATTTATTTGATTTACTTTTTTTTTTGTTTTTTTGTTGCCAAGGACAACAGTTACAACCAACCAAAGAGCGAACAGCCCATAATCTTTAGCCGGTCAGACCGTACTTTTAACAGCACAAACAGGAAGCAGAGCTGAGCCAACACGATAAAGGAAGTACATGCACATTTAATAGATATAGATGATAATTTATCTTGCTATAGATGTTAGGTCTCATCATCCAGCCCTACTGCTCTTTGTAATATGCTCCTCAGCTGTGGCCACTGAGAACCGGCCACCCTTCAATCAGACTCTCATTATATTCAAACACCTCACGGAGAGCTATAGCTGGACAGCTCGAATCTTGGAAGAGAAATGAAAAGCCGCAACAATTCCCATGAAACTCAACCACCACGTCTCTGATATCGTCTCCCAACAACATTTGAACATCAGTTAGTTTTTCTTGAGCACTGTATTGGATCGCGTGGATGCTCGGTGTTGCTCATTTAACCAACTAGAGCACATGTGGTTGACTGTAATCCTCCTGGGTGGGAGCAAACCTCTGTGGGTGGGTGTGCATGGGAAACACTGGTGCCGCTTCCCCACCAAGCCTGAAGTTTTAGTGACTGCTTCCCCTCTTCAGCGCAACATTTTTCTACTTCCTCACTTGTCTGTTCTTTCGTCACCCTGCCTCCAGCTAACTGAGGTACACAGGATGTTTACTTTCTCTCTCTCTCTGCCTCAAGGAAAGTCTAAGTACTCCTGACCTAGTTTCTCCATGGAGTGTGGAGCAGCGAGGAAAGAATGAATGTAGAACTAACAAGTGGAGGTGGAGGAAAAACAGACCCCCAGTGTACGAGATCCAGGGGGGGGGGGGATCAGGTCAAAATGAATAGAAAAGCTTTTTCTGGCTAAAAGTACAAGATGGAGGAGATTTACTCTCCGTCCAGTGAAAACATTGAATTAACATAATTTCAACCTTTTTTGTGTTCGAGTAGTCGTGAAATAAAAATGGGAATTTGAACAGTAGTGGAGTTTTTTTGTAGGTCAGCACCAATATGCACTTATACGCGTTATGCGTTAAGGGACTTCCAGGACCATATGTCTCAGCAGGGGCTTTTCAGTGCACTCCCCCCCCCCACTCCTTTTCCCTTCCTTCCCAGATCCTTTCTCTCTGTTTCCCATCTTCTTTCTCCCTTGTTACCTGCTTTGAATTGCAGATGTGGCCGGGCAGCGTGCTTCGTGTCTGCTTGAACAACTTTTCCGTCCGCTAACACCCGTTGTGTCATTTGCAATTACTAGATGTTGAATTCCACGCCTGCTGTAAAGTGTTCAGAGACCATGAATGCAATGAGATGTGGAGAAACGGAACTCAGTGCTCCGCTGACTCCGACAATCCTAAATTGCTAAAACCCCCAGTGTTAAATAAAGACGTTTCACATCCAGTGGTTGAAATATAAAAACACTTGAAAATACAGTATCTTAAATTGCACACTAATTAGACAATATAGCCTAAATCTTTTCAGTAATCCCATTTGGGCCATTTTCATATGTGGTTCCATTTCTGATCCCTCTCCATGAACTGATTTTTTTTTTTTTATTGCCACGCTCGACTCCTCAGGCTGCCCTCTGGTACCCACACATCTCCATGAAGTACGAGCAATAGCGTCACATACAAGTGTAGCGCTGCCTTTATAAACTCTGTACCGCCTCACAGCTGTGCTTCCACCTCGAGAGGAGACGCTCCTTTAAATGAATTCTCTTCCACTGCTACCTCACTGACGTTGAGTTGAGAGATTTAGTCTACAAGTCGCTCTCATTTCACAGTTTGTGTTAATTCGTGTTTATTTGATGTAATCTGATAAAACGCATGACAGCAATGCTGTGCGGCGTTGCTGTCATGCAGACAGAGGAGATGATGTTCTTGGTGGCAAACGTCTCTTCGAGTCACTCAAACAAATCGGTGTTGTTGTGCCACTTTGTTCATTTTGATTTATGTTTGCATATAGATGTGTAATCTGCCCCTTCTTTCTGCAGCTACTGGGACATGGCGTACGACGGGGACGTCATGGACAACAGAGTTGGCCTGAATTTGCTATACGCCCAGGTAAGAGCTTTCATTATGACGGGAAACCAGACGTGGTCGTTTATTCTCAGCCACAACAGTGGTCTTTAACAAAATAATTCAAAAAGATAATCCATATTCGACGTGATTGGGTTTGTGCTTCATCGAGCTTGCCTGGTGCTGGCTTCACACCAAGAAAACTAAATCAAGCACTGCTTCATCCCCGGGCTGCCAAATGCTTTCGTCCGTCCCCTGGGTCTCCATTATCAGATTGTGATGTCGGCTTGTTTTGACTTTGCAACAGCTTGCATCCTGTACCTCTTTGTGTTTCCTCTCTGATCCTATTATCAGCGGATCCCTTCGCTGCGACAACTGTGATCTGTTTGTATTAAGCAATTCTTCGGGCGCCACGTTTTGATTAAAATCTGGAAACTGCTGAGTGTGTTGCCTCTGAGAAAACTAAATGGTGTTTCTGTGTGATTGTTTGCTGACCTGCACTGTTTCACTGAAGGGCTTAGGGCGTGATTTCTCCCACAATGCACTGAAGGAAACCACAAACAAAAGAAAAACCTGCTTCGTTTTGTGCATCTGTGCAGAAAGATGAACTTCAGTTCTTGTTTTTGCTTCACCAGACAGTGTCTGACATTGAGCGAGGCTGGATACTCGTCAACAAAGACCAGCACAGGCAGCTCAAGTCACTTCAGGAGAAAGGCTCCAAGAAAGAAGTAAGCAAAGGGCATCTCTTCTAGATGAGTCCAGAAATGTCTTTGTCCAAGGATGAATGTGTAGGCCGAGGAGAATACTGCCTCTAATGCTTTCTATGATGCAATTAGCCTAGTTTTTTCCCTGATATGAATGTTTAATTACACCGATCCAGTAGAGAATTCAAAGTTATTTCCCCCAGGGATCAGAGACAAAGATGGAATTTCCCAAAATTGTTTTTTTTTCCCCCTCCCTCCAGTTCATCCATCTGGGTCAGACTCTCAAATATTATGGCTATATCAAGTTCGACCCTTGTATCACCGACTTCCCCGAGAAGGGCTGCCAAGTCATCGTCAGCGCCGGCAACAACGAGCTCAACTTCCACGTCAAGCTGCCCAACGAGCAGATCAAGGAGGGAAGCTTCAAGGTGACTCGCATGCGGTGTTGGCGAGTCACGTCCTCCGTAAGTACAATTGTGTGTGTGTGTGTGTGTGTGTGTGTGTGTGTGTGTGTGTTCGCCTGTGACAGACCGAGGATGAGGGAATTCACCTTCAAGCGTGCTTGTAGCTGTGAAATGATCAAATTGGAATGGCTCCATATTAGTAGGAGACGATGAGCTGGCAGAGAGACGCAGCGGCTTTGGCTCGAGGCCATCTCAAACCAACAAGGGCTCCTGTGCTTCCAAAGCCGCCTTTCTAAAAAGCTCATCTCACCACTGCACCAGAAAACAAATGTCTTTTAGACTTGCCAAGCGTTGTTTTGTTTTTTTACTCCTGGTGCTCTCTTAAATTGCTGACCTCCACACCATTCATCTTCATCTTTCCAATTACCCAAACACGCAGCCCGCACAAGGATAGCGCTGTATTGATCCTCCAGCCTCACATATAGAGCGGCGTCCTTTATTCCAACAATAGTCTGTCGGCGAAAAGGGAATCTGAGGGTATGCAGTACGAGGAAGCGCCTGCACAGCCCACTCTGTATACATCCGTACATGGAAAAAAAAAAAATACTACACTTTTTAGTGTAAAACCATAGACTTTAGGGAAGAAGACAGAAAGAGCAAAGATGCTGTTTTCACACAACAGCGGCCATGTTTAACGCACGAGGCTACTGTTTAGACTGTCGCTTGGTAATTGTATTGATTAGTAAACACGAGGTGCTGTTGGGATCCGTGATTGAGTGAACGGCTACACATCGCAGGTTCGATTTTCACTAATGAATCAATACAGAGGGTTGTACTGTCGGTGAACATAACATTCTTTTTTTTTTTTTTTTTTTTTTTTTTTTTTTTTTTTTTTTTTTTTTTTGGAGGAAAATGTTGGATGCAACAGACTCGATTAGTCGCAGTCAGCCAGGCATTTGAGGAAAACACAGCTTGAAATTAATGGAAAAACAACAGCCTGTGGAATAACAATAAAGTAAAATAAATGACTATTATTGTGAAATCATTTTTGGCATTTTTAGATCAGTTTACTGTGAAAAAGGCGGGATCACAAGACAGCACGAAGGCCCATCTAGTCAGGCTTTAAGTAATGCGTTTGATCCGAACCACTGTGGTTCACAATCAGGGTCCTGTGAGGATCCGCTGACGGCTACCGATGTGGTTTATGTGTGTGTGAAAAGACACAGAGAGGCAATTCAAAACAACAATGGCGGTGCCTGAAGAGCTTCACGTAGATGCTGCAAAGGAACATGTATCAGAACTGGAGAGTGTTTTATTCATTGAAAGAAGAGCAAAGAGCGGCACTGAAGGCTTTTCTCGAAGGAAAAGATGTTTTTTTTTCTCCCGACCGGCTGTGCTAAGAGTTTGATCGACTCAACTGCCAAGTATTTTTTTGAAAGTGCCTGCCCTTCTCCAAATAGTTTCTAATGACTGCTTCTCGGATGGTTCTGTGTAACAAACCATCTGGCGTGTCAGTTTAGGGGAGGACTAGCCTGTTAAAAGTGTTTTATAATGCCGTCTGTGGTCCTGGAGGAGCTCTCTAAAGTCTGAGGAAATATTATGTCATCGGGGGAATCTCAGCTTGAGCTTTAAACCTTTGCTAAAACGATCATTTTTAACACAAAGCGTGATTTTTAAAGAAGTGTACATTTAGGATGCAGGATAGGTCTAATGAAGATTTAGATCCAGTGGCATTATGGGAAATGTAGTATCCAGTAGATTGTCAGCTTGACCAACACTTGAGACTAAAATCAGGATTTCTCTGCTTCTACTGCACCAATTCTACTTGAATATGTTCCTGTAGCTGTAGAAACTAGCTGGCAAGAAATCTGGAACAAAATCCTTGTTTAGAATTTTTTTTAAATCCACAAGTGTCCCCCCAGTATCGGCATCAATTTAAACCACCACGGTCACATCATTGTTGTCAAGCTCGAAGGATCAATTTTCACTTCTGTGAATAGCTGAAACGAGCTTAACATGCAGCTCTACACACATCATCACTTTCAGACCCAAGACCTCATTTAAATGGAGATGGGGGAAAAAACGGTTCACTTTTGTATTGCATTAGTGTTCGTGCAGCTTTTTATGATTCTCCAAAAGTCAATTTGCACGGAGATCTGTACACATGGCAACACTTCTCAAATTAAAATGCATCTCGGCTCGTCTGATTACAGGCTGGACCCCCCCCACGGTGGCGGGGGGGTGGACTCTGAGCCTCATTCTCAGAGGTCGGAGTCATTTTAATAAGCCCTTTCCTTTCTGAACAAACTATTCCAAAGATCTCCTTTGGTGCAGCGCTGCAACCCCCCTCGTAGTCACATCTCAAAAATTGCGTGTGTGTGTGTGTGTCAGCCCTCTGTTTTTTTCTGCTTTTCTTCTGTATTTTGTGTGTGTGTGGGTGGGGTTCGGTAGATGGGAGGTACAGCTAGTTTCTGGCCCAGAGGGAATCGTCTCAGTGACGAGCACAGGCTCCATGAATGAGGAACGAGGGCTCGTCTCCAGGGAAGCCGCGTCTCTCTGAGCGTCGCTTATTTCTTGAGGGGATTTTTGATATTCTGTATTTGTACATATTTCTCTCCACCAGTGTTAATCTTTTAGCACAGGTCTTCTTAAGAGTTGGCTACCTGTCATCGGTGATGCAGTAGCTTTAGAAAGGCAGCTTATCAAGCGGAGATGTACTGTTGGATAGGAGATGTGATTAAGCTGCTTACACAACCCTCTCCAGACATGGAGTAGAATACCAAGCTTATCCTCTGCTTAAGAAGGCAAGTTGGATGTTGGTACGGAAATGCACTCTAAACACAAGAAGACGTATTTAACTTGAAGGAGGGAAAAAGTCCACGATAGAATAAACATAAAGCATACGCGGTTGTTGATACCGGTTCATAAGAATGACGATTCAACCCCCTTGACTCTTGCAGCAAGTCCCGATAGCCAACGGCACCACCAATCCCTGTAGCGCGTCCAAATGCGACGTCAAACTGGAGCTGGCCTTCGAGTATCTGATGAGCAAGGACCGCCTCCAGTGGGTCACCATCACGAGTCAACAGGTAGGGACTGACGGGGGGGGGGTCCAGGCTCGAAGTATGAGAGAAAGAAAGATGTCGCGTGAAAGTGTACTTTATGCTGTTCAACGTTCCAAGATTGTATTGACTTTCAAGTTTGTGCTTCCAGGCTATCATGATGAGTATCTGCCTTCAGTCTATGGTGGACGAATTAATGGTGAAGAAGTCAGGCGGCAGCATTAAGAAGGTTTGTGTTAAGAAAGATCAAATCCTCCATAACACATTCTTTTGAATTTGTTTTTATTTAATACACAGATCTGCAGAGGATGTGAGCTTACGTTACACACATTATATAGCATCTTTTTTTAACATTAGGTAGTTTAATATAACTATTTGGTTTTTATTGTGGAGGTTGTGGAGATAATGGGTCCGAGGAATGCAGTGCTGAAGTCACAACACATGCAAAGCAAAGCTCATAATTCACAGGATATCCTCTCAGTGATATTTCTCGTCTTGTTCACTTCTGCTGCTGTCCTCCGTCTCCTTCTAGATGCTGAGGAAACGACACAACGGCTCCATCCACCGGTCAGACAGTCAGCAAGCTGTGAAATCTCCCCCTCTACTGGTGAGGAACGGGACAACGTGCCCCGAGTTTGATGCTTTGAATCTGATTCGGACTTTTTGTGTTGATTTCAGGATCATTTGTTGTTGTTTTGTCTGCAGGACTCTCCTGACCCAAACCGTGAGCAAATCGTCAAACTCTCAGTGAGTATACTTTTGACTTTATAAAACATGCAGCTGAATGATAACGATGATGTATCCCCAGAACTTTCAACATATTCTAAGGAATCAATGTCTGTCGGGTGTTAAGTATACTAATTAATGATATAATTATTCCATTTAGACCAAGCTGAGCTCGGTGTCCCTCCGAGGGGTCAGCGCCTCCAACTCAGCAAATGATATCAGCGGCAATGATTTCCATGGCAACTACGCTTTCGAGGGAATCGGGGATGATGACCTGTAACCCCCCCCCGACTCGCCCTCCCCCCCCCCACACACCCCCCCTCTTCATTCCACTGTCAGCGACCGGGACGACAAAGATTACAAGCTGAGCCCAGCGGGCCACACACACACCCTCCGATTCTGCAAGATTGTAGCTTCTTTCTGGAGAAACTGCTGCCTTAAGCTCTCACTTAATCTTTGACCGAGTTCCTTTTTCTTTTAGTTCCAATCATCCTATCCAACGGCCGCTTTGTCCCGATGTTATTAAACGCGTGGCAGCGTACAGTAAACAGCATGTAAAGCTACAGGTACGCAGATAGGGATGCTTTATCGTTTGTTACTGACAAACTCCTCCCTCAGTTTCACTCACAAAGGATGACTGTCTCATCGACCGTAGGTACAAAGTAAATTAATATATTATAAACCTGGCTAGATCCTGGGTTCTTCCCCTGCCGGCTGCATGTTCCCCACCAAACGCATGTTCCCCACCAAACGCGACCCATTCACTGGACCCAGAGTCCAGTGAATGTGTTGAAGTCTGATCTCACTGTAGACTATTCAGAGCAACCGCTTACTTGTGTTGATGATCAATGTTTGGCTTGGCTATATACCAAAATGTCATGTTTGGTTTTTTTTTATACCGTTAGTGATCCTCTGTGTGTCATGCTACTCAAGTCAGCGAATAGCTCAGCAGGATACCAGTGGTGTGTTCAGCTCACGTCAACTCATGCCGCCTTCAGAAATAGTCTGACGCCTTAACTTTTTACTTTCTTTGCCTTCGCGGGTTAACTCGTCATCTAACAAGACATCGGGTTGAAGTTTCGAATACTCGGCAGTGTCGGCCGGTGTTGCCTAGAATCTTGCAGAACTTGGTAAATGGTTGCACTTGCTGAACCCATCGTTTTTGCACAGTATTACAGGTGGAGATGAGCATTTGAGTGGAAGCTCGAGCGTGACTTAAAGCATTGTGTGGAGATTTATTTTTCCATCTGTAAAATCCATCAATGATTTTTTTTTCTTTTTTCTTTTTTCAAACAATTTTTTTAAAGGTTTCTCATCAATGCCAAATTATAGTTTACTAAAGCATTTTGCACAAAATAGACATAAAAATTATGACTGTCACTTTTTATATTATGTACATGCAATTAAGTATTCTGAACATTTACTAATATCTTTATCACCAATAGCTTATTGTAATCAAATAGATCAAATGTAATCTAAGCTGTATAGGCCAACAAGTTTAACGTATCATTGTTTACATAATGTTTAGGGGACTTTATTAGTTTTAAATGTAAAGTGTTTACAAATTTTGCATCCGATTTTTCTTTTGTCTCGTTTCTTTATTAAGGCTGTGAGCGATGGTTGTTGGGAGCTTTTGGTTCATTGTAATTTGTATGTACATTGTGCCAATCATCTCAGAGGATTCAGTTGAACAGGTGCTTTGGTGAAAGTGGCTCATGTGATCTCAATTGCTGGAGTGAACAAAGTTCATGAGGAAGCAGCCGACAAAATGAACATATCCCGCTGTTTTATAAGACACTTCATAACATATTTTCTATCGCTGTGGCGTCTGTTGCACTGCGTCTCGGGCTCGCTTTCGAAGCCTCTAAATGTAAATCGATGCCGACCTGTCGACAGCTTTACTCTCACTGGTAGCCAGAACTGTAGAACAAATATTTTCTCAGTCTACTAATTGTCTTGTTCCTTCACTGCTGTGCTTCTTCTTCTTCTTCTGTCTTCAGTTGCATTTACAGTGTGGATGCCACTATTCATGTTTATCTTCATGATTCCTGTGCACGTACATGGAACCTGCGAGGTCCTGGGTGTTAATAAATGTGTAGGTGCCAAATTTAAAGTGCATTTATCATCATCGCTTTCCCAGAAAATGTCAAATTTCATGATGATTGTATTGTCTAGATTCAGTTCACTTTTCATTTTAGTGGTGAGGTCAGTGACAGCTGTCATGATGCTGAAATAAACTCTAATGTAGGCGATCTTGTGGTTCTCAGTTGTCTGTTAATGGTCCACTTCATTCATGTTGTCGTCATGTAATATGCCGAGAATCCTACTCGGTATAGAGAGCAACCAAGTGATATGATTCGGTACATCACAACAAATTAAACACAGTTTTAAGGTAAGAGAACTCTCCTCATGTCCCTCTCACCCCTCCGTTAACGTGTCACTTCCCACAATTCAACACTGGTCAGGTGTTCTGTTCCCACAGGTGTAAGGGGGTGTGGCCCGATGAACAAAGGGTGGAGAGAATTGTTAGAGGGGATTTTGGTTTTGTTTGTGAGGGGAGATGGAGTAAGGTCGGAGCTGTGCAGCATGCCGGGGAGGAACGACCCGTTCAGCTCCTTTTTTAAGGCGTTACCTCGACAGAAACCAGTGTGCTGAGGACCATGAAGATTGAGCAACAAACCAAGAAAAGACAGGAATTTATTTCTCTCTAAAACCAACATCCAGTGAGGTTTTCTTTTAAGCAATATTGCCTTTTAACAGCTTCATATTTTTGCATTTTGAAGGGAGGAAATTTAACCTGTTGCATTGTTTAGTTCAGTTCAACTGTTTTTGAAATTAATATCGTCAGATCAGTCCGTCAACAAGAAATGTCAGAAATACTAAAGGTATATGCCAAACATGCTCATGTTTACCATCGTAGTGTAGCGCGTTAGCATGCCAACATTTGCTCCTAAATTGAAAGTATAGCTTGGCTGATGGATGCCAGGTTTGCAGGTGTTTGGTCATCATGATCCTGAATTAAATGTTATGGCAATCCATCAAAATTATATTACTCAGAACCACAATGTCGTATTTCAGTCAAGGACCAAAGTGATGGACCGAGTCACCAATCGATAGAACGTGTTTAATAAAGGCCACTCAGAGATCTGAGGAAGAAGTGAGATCCAGTCTGTTTGACATTCAATGAAATTAATTCAATGTGTTTATTTCAAAATCTTCACTTAAGGCATTTGAGACACTGCATAACAGACAAAAAAAACAGACACTGGGGGGGGGGGGGGGGAGGATGTCGGCACTAATCAATTTTCCATTGTGTCATGGCAAGTTGGCAACCTGAAAAATATCTCTTGCATATAATAGTAATTCATAAAAAGCGTAAACTTAAATCAGTCCCTAATATTTTTCCCATGGGAACTAAATGACACGTCACACATTCAAATTGATTAAAAAGACATTTCTAGCAATGTATTACAGCCCCATTAGAAAAATAAAACATTACACGCACATGCTTACTAATAGTGTGATCCTTTTCAAGTAAAAAACACGAATGGGCTAATTTCACAGTCAACAGTAAAGAATAAATCGACAGGAACGTGACCAGAAAGACCCAGAATGATTTGAAATTATAAAATTAATTATTTGTAGAAAGTACAAGTTTGAGGGGAAATAAATCTTTTGAACATGCTCGGATTACAATTTGTAATAAGTAATGTCAACCAATGCTTGTCCCCCCTCGCACAACTTAGTCTTAACCCTTTTTAAGTGTGTACGATTGTGCTTTTATTTTAACCATACAACCAAATAAAGACTGAAGAGGGCCTTTCAAAATGCTTGTGCATGCAATTTGTGTGTTTAAAATAGTCTTTATAACCTTCACATAATCCTGAGGGGTTCGGCTAAAAAATAAAGACAATGCAGTTCATTACTTTAGTTAGGTTAGCACAACCTAATGACTCGATATAGTTCAGTAAGGGTAAAACAACTCCAGTATTATTAAATAGCACTCTGATAATAGTACATACATTAGCAAATGAATGTGAAGGCATGCCATTACCAGAGCCCCAATGCAAACAAAGCACAATATTGGCCCTTACAAGGACCCATCTTTACTTAAAGCTGCACTGTGTAGCCAAGTTAAAATGAGTCGGGTAAATGATCATTTAAGCTCAGTCATTACATTTTTGGCACAAAACAAAGATTTGAGCTAAACTTTTTGAGACCAACAACTTTAAATGAAAAATAAGCAAATCCCCCTTATAAAAAACAAATAAACGTATATATATATATACACACACACACTACACAGTGCAGCTCAACAGTTCAGGCAGAAATGTGCACGTGTGTATTGAGGGAATATTCTGTAATGTTGTCCGTCCTCGCAGGAATCACCAGATGTGCGTTGTAATATGAGAGGGGGCTGTTGTAACGTACAGAATGAGACAGTCAAAGGGCTTCCACGGTAGACGACGTCCATTTGTCCCGACCGCAAAAGCAGAGTAGAAAAACAAAATCCACTTAAATTGAAATATTCAAAACAAATTGTGCGAGATTCTACAAATAAAAGTTAGCAGCCTCTGAAGACATCCGACAACACGAAAAGTCTGACACACACGGAAATGATATAAAGGCTCTGTGAGAAAAAACAAACAAGTTGCTGGTAGCTTAGTTTTGCTGAGTTATATTTTTTTTTATACAATCTCAAGTTTGTAGCAGGAGTGTAGTGTCTGACCTCCCTCCCTGGACATGTACTGCATATCAACGCCCGTTTCTTTTCTGTGAGTCGGAGCGCCGACTCCCATCCCTTTCCTCGCCTCCGCCCCTTCGTCGTTGCCGGTCATTGGAACTTTGACCCATCCGTCTGTGGCCAGGCCGTGTTTCTTCTGATGCCGCTTGTAATTGTCCCAGTGGCCGGTCGTGTAGCCGCACTCCTGACATTTGTACGGCTTCTCCCCGGTGTGCCGGAGCATGTGGCGCTTCAGGTTCATGCTCTGGTTGCAGCTGTAACTGCACACGGCACACTGGAAGGGCTTTGCCCCTGAGTGCACCCGCTGGTGGCGCTTCAGGTTGGCGAGGTTCCCGCAGGCGTAGTCGCACAAATGGCACTTGTAAGGTTTCTCGCCCGTGTGCACCCTGTGGTGGCGCTTGAGGTTGTCGAAGTGCGCTGAGGCGTAGTCGCACTGTGGGCACTTATAGGGTTTCTCACCGCTGTGAGTCTTCATGTGGCGCGCCAAGTGGTTCGGGTAGTGTGTGAGGAAAGGGCAGGCGGAACAGGTGTACACCTTGTCGCTGCGCTCGCCGGGGCTGTTGGGAGACGACGACGACGAGTCTTTAGTCAGCATCTCCAGGGTGCACTTGGCACAAATCTGGGCCGAGGAGCCGTCCTCGTCCTCCAGCACGATGCCGCACAACCGGCAGGTGAAGGGGAAAAGGGAAGAGGGGAGGGCAGCGCCGTCCGCTGCGCCCCCTCTGGTCGCCCTGCTGCTGCCGCCGTCTGCGGTGTTCAGCTGCGGTGGAGGCTGGTGGCCAGCAGCTGGGTTAGAGGCTGGTATGGGGGGTGGTGATGCCCCCTTTAAGCCATCGAAGGCTGACAGGTAGTCATTGTTCTGGGCTCCCAAACTCAGATTTGAAGTCGGCCTTGTAACTTCTGAAACTTGAAAAGAAAAAAAAAAAAAAGACGACTGAGTTATTAGATACTAAATGACAAATAACATAAAAATAGTTATGAATATGATGAAATAATGAATGAAGGACATGATACATACCCTTGGCTGAAGTACAAGACACTTCTTCATTGGGTCTTTGCCCAGTCAGGTGCCTCTTCAGGCTGTTTGGGCCACCGGTGGGTCGCGGCGGGACGTCCTGTCGCAGCCCCGCAGAGGGCACGTGCATGCGCTGATGCCTCTTGAGGTTGCCGAGGGAGCTGCAGGCAAACGAGCAGATGTCACACTTGTACGGTTTTTCCCCGGTGTGAATGCGCAGGTGTCTCTGCAGGTTCACCAGCTGGGCTGAGGCGTAAGTGCACAAGGGGCAGTTGAAGGGCTTCTCCCCGTTGTGCGTCTTCATGTGGCGCTTCACGTGGTTGGCGTAACGCGACGAGAAGCCACAGAGGTGGCACGAGTGCAGTTTGGCCAATTTGTCCTCAACTGTCAGCCCTTTGTCACCCATCCCGTTCCCCAACTCGTCGCCGTCCAGCTGCAAATGGGCAGCCGCGCGCATCCCGGCGAGGCTTCCAAAAGGGGAGCAGAAGTCCGTGCTTTTGGCCTCCCGGGAGGCTTTGCAGCACCTAAGGCAGTACGGGCCGACCAGGTCTATGCCCGGCCCCAGAGGGTCGTCGCGGAGCTGTCCGCAGCCCCTGCAGGACAGGTAAGGAGGGAAAGTGGGCTCGGACTGGGCGGCGCCGCCCTCGTCTTCCCTCCCGGTGTCGTTTGTGCTGTGCGAGTTGTCTGTTTCACTCTCCATGCTGAGCTGGCTGTAGGCGGGGCTCTCCTCATCACCCAGAGGATACACAGAGAAACCGATCTCAGCAGCTACTTCTGAACAGGGAAGACAAACAGAAGAACATGTTTATAGACACTGCACATGTTTTCAGAACAAAGACCTCCCCCCAAATCACTCTAAATGTCGTTACAGACTTTAACAAACAAGAGCACATATCTATACTGCTATTTATTCAATCTGCAATATTTCCCACCACGATTTACAATAGTAACTGCCCTGAATCCATCTAGAATGGCATATTTTGTATTATACTGTATACAGCGCTTATTCAGGTAATGTCATTGAGATACAGATGTTTTTGAAAGTACAGCACAATACATACAGACACACAGAAGCAGAGACAATCACACACGCCTCCATTATTATACAGTGAGAGTATTTGTATTGTTCCTCTAAATCGAACAGAAGGACTATAACTATTGCAGATGTTGAGATCAAATGTTAGCAAATCCAAAATATCTTGTTTGTAATGTGTATAATTGTTGAACTCACTACATTTACATGTGATTACAACATGTTTTATGTTTACACTGTTAGTATACAAATAAGTGACATTTTATTTTACTGAGGTCAGGTCAGACTGACACCTGAAGGCAAACATCCAGCTCACACTGCATCTCTGAACGAATCTCACTGAACGACTTCAAACGCGAGTAAAGAAAACAGCGAGCCTCAGCGAGCGGTTACAGATAACGCCTCTCTGTTTCCATCACGGTGAGTAAGAGGACATCAGTACAGACAGAATCTGTCTCCACAGCGGAAAAAAGAAACATTTCATACTCACGGCGCTAAAGTCAACTGGGTTTGTGCCGTTTCGTGCAATCTGAGGTTTTCAGGCAATAAAAAGAGAAGAAAAAAAGGAGACTTTTCACAGAGGATAGGAAGAAAAGCTTCAGGACAGAACTCTCCGGGCTTCAGTGTCTTCTTTCCGAAAGTGAACGAGGAGCCAGAAGAAGAAGAACAACCCTCCTCCACGGACGCCGAGGCAAAAGTGTGAGGAAGGCGAGAGTCTGCTGCCCTTTTATCTGCCCCATGGAAACCCCTCGTGGATGATTACCGAGCCTAATGGTAATGATGATGACTATAATGGTGAGGCTGCTGCGGCTGATGATAATGATGATGAGGGTGGATGATGATGATGATGATGATGAGGGTAGATGATGATGATGATGATGATGACGAGGGTAGATGTAGATGATGATGATGATGAGGGGGAAATGGCAGTGGGAGCAGAGGCAGCAGATGAGGCAGCAGATGATGATGATGATGATGATGAATAAATGCCCTCTTATAATGGTGTCCTTGATGGTAATGGTCCTGTTTTTATGACCCTTGTATAATAATGGAATGGTGTCTCAGCTCCTTTCTCTACTTTTCCATTTTTCAGATCATTCTCTCTGACAAAGAGGCATGCTGGGAAAAATGAGCTGCTAGTTCCATTTCTCTGACGGTGGCACAAAGGAGCTACGCTGACAAACTAACTGTAAAAACCTGCGAGTCCTCTTTGTGGAGCGGGTACTTTACAAATGAAGCCGCCACTTCCTTTCAGACGTACGACGATTCATTACATGTTTTTCTTACAAACGGCAGGAAGTTAAAATGTGGGCTTTGACGAAACATAATGACACTATCGTCCTTCCACCAGGAAAGGTTCAGACTGTGCAGTCAATTGAAATGTACTATAATGATCAGGCTGTGTGATACTCCCATTCCCTTTTATTGTATAATAATCAATACTCATTTACCATACCAGACGACCTTCAGAAAATATACTAATAGAAACACGAACATGCAACTGGAAACAGTTCAGACACTATGAGAGAAAAATGTGGCTGACAGATAGAATTGACCTACTTACGAACAGACAGTGTAAAGACAGACGAGCTGACATCAACGGCACGCAACACCTTTTCCAAAAAAAAAAATGTTCTGCCACAACTCTTAATGTATTTACATTCTGTAACTATAGAGCAGTTTTCATTGTTAACATTACAATTGCCTACTTTCACAGGTGGGATTACCAGGAAATGATGCAGCGGGTCATTTTGCCTCACTGCATCAGAGCTGTCATGAGCAACATTTTAGACTGCTTTAATTTTGAAATTCAATGTCCCGATACTGTCCGAGTTCCACTCAGAGGTGGTCTGCTATCGTTGCGGAGTAAAATTGGGCTGTGGAAATGGCACGTTTCCTTTTAATATTAATTTGGGTTTAGAGGGAATATGGCTGATGAGGTTTTTTCATTTTTTGATTCCACATCACAATGTCCGGATATTGTCGGTGACACTAAGGTGGTCTGCAATTACTCTGAAGTGAAACTGGTCTGTAGGAAACAGGACATTTTCTTTCAATTCTAATCTGAATCTAGAGGGAACAGAACTAATGCTACATTTTAGAAGGCTTTAATTTTGAAATGACATATCAGCATGTCCTGACGCGGTCTTGAGTTACACGCTGAGGTGGTCTTTCATTCTGAAGAGAAACAGGACGATTCCTTTCAACATCAATTTGAATTTAGAGGGAAAATACACCCGTGCATGAAGTCTAAATGATTTGCCATTGCTCACGTTGTGTAATGAACAATGTCCGATTAGGGGTATTGCGCTCATCCAAATGTATTCTGTATTGGAGCTTTAATTTTGAATTTCCACATCAGAATGTGCCGATACTGTCTGAGTGATACTCTGCAATCATGCGATTGTTTTCTACATTTGTTTCATTTATTAGTGACAGACTATCACGTTCACTGGAGTGTTGCTTTTCTTTTGAAATCCGCACTCACCATGACGCCTAATATACTCCCGAGCCCCCACGCACAACAACGTGGGGGCTCCTTTCACCGTGTTTTCCAAAGAGGACGCTGGCTTTACTGCAGTGTGATGGTTGGCTTTTATTGTGAAGCAATCACAGGAACGAGTGCATTTTGTCACAAGGTTAGCACTGAATGCAGTCGATAAAACTATTTGTCTTGAACTATCATGAGGGTGTAATGAAATATACAGGTTACTCTCCAGTTGTATATTTCTGACAAAGCTGCGGCTCAAGCACTTTGCTGTTTCCACTGCAACGTTGACCACGAACTGAAATCTTGAGGATTATAACATTTAATGCTTCATTGTTTTCTTTAAAAAATGGTTTACAAACCTGAGAATTTGTCCAGGCCTAGAATCTTGTGGTCATGATCGGGATCACCAAACTCAAGGTCTTGTCCTAGAAGGAAGTCCGTGTCTAAGGTGAGGTTTCCAGGAGCTTCAACGGCTACTCCATCTTCAGAATCCACTACGGTCACAGAAAAGAGCAAATCAACAACATTTGATGACTACCAGCATTTCACTCAGGGCGCAGTTTTAAATCAACAAGCGCTTAAAAAGGCACATAAAGCAGAAAGCAACATTTCAGAGAAACTCCACGGCCCAGTGTCAAATACAATCGTAGGTGGCCCGATTAGGGCTCGACATTAAATGTGCGCCCGGGGCAGGAAAACTTTAATCGGGTGACCAGATGAGAATGGGTGAAATTTGGGACAGGGGGAGTTCTGGGCTTGCATTTGCAGCCACACTCCTCCCACTACCTGCTGTTTGACTGGTCACCAGGTCCTGGGACACCAGGCTCCATGCGGTTGTTAAACTATTCGGGGCACAACTGTACATGGCTATAGAATTAAAGTTGAGTAAAGCATACAAATACGGGGTGTATTTAAATACAATCGGCCATGTAATCAGTAATTGGTCTGTATGTCTGCTGGTAACAATCCTCTCAGTGACACTACAAGGTTATCTGTTTAATATATACAATCTTACTTCCCTACAGTGTACAAACAGCATCTTATGCTGGCAGTTGACAGATGGAGCCCCTTTACTGCAGTTACAGCTAATGATGCCTGAAAATCCTAACCTGGTCTCTCAAAGCCTGATGGAATCCACACAGATATCGCACAGCTGGCACTGATCAGCAGCCCAATTCAAGGGCATCGAGCTCATCAGCACTGCTGAGCAAATCCTACAGAAACAGCATCATGCTGCCATCTAGTGGCCGTTTTTGGGTGTTTGACATGATGGCGATAATACATCAGGTGGGACGGTTGTCAAAACCACATCAAATCGAATTAGATAATAGATGGCTATTAAATAGGCGTACATATAAACTACCTTACTAGTATGTGCTGGTCAAGGGAAGCCTTACTAAAGCAAACCCTTTGTTATTACTGCATGACAATAACATTATTTTTGCTATTTTCTTTAAGAACATACCTAACAATAATAAGCAATGAGTAACTGAGGATCTGATCTCTTAACGCGTCTGTACATTTCCAACTTTATGAATTTCAGGCGTAACTTCCAGTATGCACATTTTACAAAAAATGATGTGAATGTATGCAGAATGTGAAACATTTTCAAGTACTCAAAACAGCAACGCCTGGTGTCCAGATGTGAGCAGAGAAAGAGGACACACGCTGTAAACGACCAGGCCAACATTCACAGGGATTTAATCGGAGACCTAAATGTGAAGCCACAGTTGCTGTATGTTGTTTAAAATAAAATAAAGATGTCAAGACAATTTCTGAAGCTCTTTGCTATGCAATCAACTTGTCAACGTGAAAAAAGGATCTTTGAATACCTACACTTGACTGGCTGTGGATTCTGTTGTTTTTTTCTTGGCATCTTCCAGACAGCCGCTCTCTTTTTTGCAACGTCTTCTTGCAGACTTCCAAAACCATCAGCTCATTGTCATCCGTTTGAAAGGTGTTCTTCAGTATATCTGTAGATGAAAGACAAAATCAATTAGTTGTTATTTTTGTGGATGAATAGTGTATTTGTATTGGTCTAGAAAATGTAAGTTTACCCGCTCATTTAAATTCAAGCCCAACATCATTTCCTAATGCGTAAGGTGACATTTTCAAATTGCCTGTTTTATCTTTCCAACAGTCCTAAACTCACACAAATATCACAAAAGAATAAGAAAACCAGCAAATGTTCACATTTGACAAGTTGGACCCGTGAATTTGTGTCATTTTTGCTTAAAAATAATAATAATTTGATTGTTAATTAATATGCATTTTCTATTGAGCAAAACCTGACAAATTAAAAATCGTTTCAACTCCAAAATGTACCGACAAATACAATAACACACATTTCAGCTGCAAAGCTTAATAGTTAAAAACTGAATTGGATGAAGTCTGTAGTGAAGATTGATGGTGTCATCAAAACAAATGCACATACAGAGTACATACGGAATACATACAGACTATTAAACAGTCATTTCACAGTAACATATGTGGATTATCTAGCTCGTTCACGTCAGTTAAGCCCCCTGCTTAAAATAAAACAAATATAAAACTGTCACTAATTCAGTGCCATGAGTCTTACTGCAGTGTATCTAGCCATCATTCTTCAGCATATCTATTGTGTCCCAATGAAGCCGGTTGGAGGACATTACACACAGTGCAGTTGATAAACTAACATCACAGGAAACAGATGTTATACGAGTGTATTTCCTGCACTTACACTGCAAACAAACCCAGAATCCACCTTTAAGTGGCTAGCTATCGGGCTACTTTACCAAAATGGCTAACACGTTAGCTCTGGTGCTGCAGTCGCAGACAGAAGAGCAATCAAGCGAATCAGCTAGCAATTTAAAACTGAAAGATGTCTTCATGTAGCATGCAGCTAACAGATGTGGTGCCTGTACAACATGAAATGTTGGCATTATTTGGGAGAAACTGACGGTTTGCAACCTAACGAGTGGCTGAACAAAACGCGTCCTCATCAGCACGTAGTAATGAATTGACAAGTGCCTTCTTCAGTCAATAGTAGCCGTGGCTTAACACGTTAACCTATTGCTAAATTAGCCGAGCAGCGAATGTCAACTTCACTAGTTAGCTATCAAGCTAACTTACCTAAAAAACGTAAATATTCCTGTGGATTGAGATGCTCGTTATCGTCGGAATACACGCCATTAGGTGCGGAAGGTTTTCCCTCAATTGTACAACGTCTGGAGATCCGCCATTTCTTCATGAGCTGCGGTGACAAAGAAAGGCAATTAATGGTATTTTTCATAACTTAATTGATTTTCTGATGCGCCTGTGCTCCAGCAGCAGCAGCAACAACAAGAGGACTTCCGGCCTTAGTCCTTCAGAATAAAAGCGACATCTACACCAACGACAACGTAAAAGTTAAATTAAACAAAACATTTAACATATTGAATGAATACTTAACAGACGTTACGTTCATGTGATTTGGTAATTTAATGTGTATGTGTAAAAAGCAAAGAAAACATGTAAATCCAATGTTATACTGTAGAATGAGGTGATTTTATGATTTGTTTTATGCATTCATTTTATTTATATTGGCATTAATGAGTTGTATGGCCTTGTAGTCACTGTGCTAAATGAGAGCTCAACTTGTTTTTGGCTTTCCATTTTCATCCAGACAATGTTCTACTCTACTAATAAAACGATATGTGGGCAGTGTCCCAATTCTGTCGTGCCTTTGCCTTTAATCATTTCTACTGCTATCAAAATCACAGTATTTCAGAACCTTTTTTTTAAACGGTTTAAATTCGTTGCTTTTATCCTGAAGGTTAGGAGCGCACACCGGACGTGTTATTGTTGCTGGCGGGATATGTCTTGATTCCATTGTGTTGTACCCATCCCCTACTCTGTGGGATGGGTGTTTCCGTTTCCGAAAACAATTTCCGGTTGCTACCCCTAACTGAATCATTGTAGCTGTAGTTCGTATAGATATATGTATCAGTCCAACAAAAATACAATGCACTCATTTCACTATTTGGAAAGGAAGTTGACTACCCCAGTAGGCATACTTCCAAAAACCAGTAGACAGCAGTCTACTCTGAGATTGTAACCTCATCACAATATGGCAAAACACAAAAAAAGCATCCACTCCACAGTACATTGTAAAATTGGAGGAAGTTGTAGCAACATTGTCTCTCAACATGTCAAATGTGGGCAAAGATGCAAATGTTGCATCATGTATACATATATATCTACTATTTCCACAAAATAATTAAAAGTTATAATGAGGAACAGGCCCTCTGGAAAGACTTTCATCCGTCCCAAGGTGGCTTGAAATGATTTGTATTCTCTATATTTTTATTATAATTCCGAGTCCAACTAATTAGTGAAGTATGCTTGTAAATTATAATTATATAATGCAATCGTACAGTACATTATAGGGACAATACAAATAATTATAAGCTGTTCAGTGACAAAGACGTACATCTATGGCCTATATATTTATTTGGGATTTAGGCTAATCTAAAAGAATGTATAGGTTGACCTCAAACCCTTTTAATGCGTGCCCTGTATTATGAAACTGGTGTTTTTAACAATTGGAGTGCAGGGCCTCAGAAGGTGCATCAGGAGATCCCTAAACAATTGTTGGCTTTTAATTTACTGGAATTTATTTTATTAGACTTACAGAATATAAACTTTCACTGTCGTGGACACTGGGTCTATATGATGTGCTTTTAATATGAAATGATCAGCAAAACATATCTGGTTGACTGGGACAGAATATAAAAAGAGATGGCATGTGTGTGTATTTAGCACTGAAAACATGTGAGAACCACTGTGTGTTTTTTAATGAGACTGGGCATTTATGCAGAGGAGATCCTGGGACTCTGCGTCATCCCATTGGCTCATGTCACTGCAGTGTGCCTCCCCTCAGGCCGCCGCACAGCAAAGCTATCAGTCTACTGCTGCTGCACCAGGAGGGGGGGGGAAGGCTCTCCTCACCGTGAATATCGTCTCCTCGGCTCTCCCATGCACCGGAACCATCGCACCGAGCCTCTCTGCAGCTTTTGACGGCCAGATTATGTTTCGTGTGCAGCAGTGAGGAAGAGGAGACTGGGGAGGTTTCTGTGCTACTGTTTGGTCCTCAAGGGGAGGAGCCAGTTGTTGATTCTACGCTGCAAAGAGAAGGCGCCGCACTGAGAGGTAAGATACCGTTTACGTAATAGAAAATATTGTGTGTTTTATCTGCAGACTTTGGAACGCGCGTTTAGACCACTTAACATTCGCTAATCGCTCGTGTTTATGCGGGATATCTGGAGGTGGAGGTGGAGGTGAATGCGAATACGTAGCCTATTAAACATGCCACTCCCTGCAATAGCATACTGATGCCCTGGACAGACCCCTCTTTAAATGATTCAAATGGAAGTAGGAAAATGTGTTTATGATTTTCCTAAATACACGTGGAGGTTATACAAGGCTGCATTTGATCAGTATGCTAATAAAAGAGGCTTCCTTTAGTTTACAATTGCATTCCCAATAATTGGCCTGTCCTTTATATTATTGTTTTATTTGGTTGAATAACACTTCTCTTATTTAATCTGTGGAGTCAAAGCATATGGATTAGTGACCATACACTACGGACACATGCAGCACTGTTATGCAATCCCACACCAATATACACTACTGTTTAATATCATGTAAAAATTGCAGTCCCTTATATTGTGGTTATTTAACAACATAAAGTAACCTGCAGGCTGCCAGAGGTCACTAAGGCTCAGTGTTGCGCGCCACATGGTGCAGAAACAGAACATTTTGGTCAGGGATGCCGCGAAGTGCAGGAGTGTGTGTGTGTGTGTGTGTGTGTGTGTGTGTGTGTGTGGGTAGGCTGAGGTCACTCTCATGCCTCTGAAACCCGCATTGCTGATGTGGGCTTGTGTCCAGTGAAGAGATATTTAATAGGGTGTATCATCAGGTTTCCCTCAGCTAAGGCAGAACTCAACATCAGACATCCTGTCTGATCAGTGATTGCATAGCAACAGCTTGTTAACAAGTGTCCTCGAAAAAACACACTCAAAACTGAGGAGATAACATGGTTGGGATGATATGGTTCATTCAAAGGACAAAATGAAAAAAAAAAAGGTGGCCTGTTTCGTGCCTGTTTGGCTTTTCAAAGGGGGAGAAATGCTTCAGGGCAGATGCTGGTTGTGTAATAATCCCATCTGTCATTGTGATTTTATCTGTCATCAATAGGAACAGTGCCACAATAGACTCTATAACCCATAGACAGTCATTTATGAAATCAGAAAGGCTATAACACCCAGAGAATAACTTTCACATGCATAGGTTTACAGTGCATTTTGTCCAGATTTATTGCAGAAAATTATTAATTTGAGAACATTAAAGTCATGACCTCCCATTTAAAATGTAACTTACATTAATTATGTTTGGATATTACATTCTCTTATCACAAAGCCAACCATGTAGGTCAAATGTTACAGTGATAGGGCATCACTCATTTAAAAGAGTAATTTCACCGTGTCATCACCTGTAGATGAATTAATGATTGTAATAAAAATCAGTACAAGCTGCTGCATTTTGAACAGTGCCTTCGGTATCCTTCATAAGTTATTTAAAGGGCTACTCCAGCTATTTAGTATTGCACTTGCATAAAGTTGGGGACTCCAAAGACAACGATTATACAAATAACGTTAAAAATCGGAGAAGCAGACGCAGAGATGTCCTACATTTCCCATAATGCTCCCAATATAATTTAATTTGATCTCCCCTGCCTGGTAAATGCTCATGTCTTTAGAACTCCATGCCTCCGGTTTGTAACACATGTTGAGCCAGATTGCTTTTTCTGTAAAAACTCTCCAAGCTCAAGCTGAGATAACCCTGGTGACATCATCAGGGTTCAGCAGTTATTCATGTGTAAGATTGGTAAAATGCCCCTTTTTTAGAAGTTTTTACCTTTATTACATTACATTAGAAATGTGTTTGAATGTGTGCTGCGTTTGTTGTCAGATTAGAATATGTGTAAATCAGCATGTTTCATCATGTCAACAAGACTTCACCCAACACCTTTGTACATTATGTAATGATGTCCGCGGGTGCTTTTGGCCAAGGGATCAGTTTCTTTTTGCTTGTTGGAAATAAATAAAAAAATGAGGGTTTGCTGCTGTGAATAAAGAGTGAGACGTGTGGCCGAAGCTTTTGTTAATGTGAGCTAGCATAGCTAGTAGTACACGGAATAAGTGTTGGTCATGTTGTAAAGTGCTTCAGCAGGTCACGAGGTCAAACAGCCATCTTCTGGAAGTCCTCTTGAGTTAGACAGTAGAGATCCACATCCTGGAGACACACCTCTCCTCACTGTCCTCACACTGTGGAGACATGATGTGTGTGTTCAGTAAGTCCATAAGGTTATATGTAAATTAAACAAATGATATGACTAAGTATATTTTATAAAACAGTCTGTTGTACAGTATACAGCCCAACAGTAAAACTGCACAGAAAGGTACTAAGAGGATTGAGTTTTCAGGACTAGAGTGGGTTATTTCTTTATCTTAATTCCCATGGGACTGAATTCAACATAACTGATTCGTACCCTTCTCCAGTGGTGTGGCTGCTAAACTCTCAGAGATTTTATTACTGTGTGCTCTGGCACTGAAAGAAAGTTCGAAGGACAGATTTTGAATTTGTCCTTTAATCCTCCGTAATCCCCTGAGACGCCTTAAGAATTTGAATTCTTGCTAAGGCCGTGTTTCCGGAGCGCCGGCGTCCTATAGCGTAAAGAGGGTAGGTCAAATCTTTAAGTGTGTCTTTGGCCTCGGGAGCATTTTTTCGGTATACTGTATACACACACACACACTCTCTCACACACACACACACACACACACACACTTATTCAAGAAAAAAATCATTAAGCTGTTTACAGAAGATGTACTCTCGCTTTCCGAGCAGCATCTGTGTCCATCCCTCGTGTTGTTAACTATGTTCCCCTGAGACTTCTGAGGGATGACATTAAATACAGCAGGACTCTTATTTACCCCTTAATCTTACCCCCCCCCCCTCGTCATTGCACATATACAGAGAGAGGTCATAAAGTTTGTTCAACATAACGATAATAAAAAAAAATCTTCCTGTTATTCGTAAGATATAAGAAGATGTTTCATTATTCATTATTTCATTATAGAAATTGATTCGGACTTCTTGTCATTTCCATCTCTGTATCCACATAATTCAAGTGTGTGTGTGTGTGTGTGTGTGTGTGTGTGTGTTTCTGCAGTTTCTGATGGATGCATGATCTGATTCACGATGATGATGATGATGATCCATAACAATGC